ATTCTATTTTTAAAATTTTAAGTATTTAAAATGGATTAAAAATCATGTCTATAGCCCGAGTTCCCATCCCCTGTTGTTTTATATAAGAATATCCGAGAAAGTTTAGGGGAGATCACTCCCGGTTTATTTTACTAGATGGTTGTTTTGTAAAGAGAATACTATATCTGTGGTTTAATTATCTTTATTCTATAAACACTACCCCACGCTCTTGTATATTCTTTTTCTAAACAATCGTGAAAGCCTAGTCCTCTTTCTCCTACAATCGAACACACACCGTTGCCGGCAAATTTCTTTTGAAAAAAGTCCATTATTAGCCGGTGTGGCACTTCGCCCCCCCCCCCCAGAGACAAAGTATATATATATATATATATATATATATATATATATATATATATATATATATATATATATATATATATATATATGTGTGTGTGTGTGTGTGTGTGTCTTTGTGTGTGTGTGTGTGTGTCGGCCTACATAGGCCTATATCTTTAATATATACCGCATTCGCGTACATGTTTGTGTATAAGCTTTAATCACCGCAGACATAATAGTAACGATGTTTATCTATAGTCTGTTAATAATGCCGTTGGATGCAGCATTGTTTTCTCTATAGTTAGCACGTTTACGTCATGGTGTCACCCCCACCGCCTTTATAATAATTGTCGATTTGTACTTAAAAGACAATTTAACTTAAATAAATCATGAATGGAACTGGCAAAACAGCATTTTTCTTCTGTACATTTTGCAATATTTTGCCATGGTGTCACTCGGTGCGGTCCGCACACAGAATATGCGCAAAGAAAAAATGCGCAACCAGACAAAAGCGCAAACAGAAATTCGTAAACAGAAAAATGCTGACACAGAAAAATGCGGACACAGAAAAATGCGCAAGAGAAAAATGCGCAAAGAGAAATTTGCACAAACAGAAAAATGCGTGAACAGAAATTTGCACAAACAGAAAAATGCGTGAACAGAAATTTGCACAAACAGAAAAATGCGTGAACAGAAATTTGCACGAACAGAAAAATGCGTGAACAGAAATTTGCACAAACAGAAAGATGCGCACACAGAAAAGTACGCAAACCGAAAAATGTGTAAAGAGAAATTTTAGCACAAAGGCATATATAGACTAGATGACACATTTATACATGATTGTTAGGGCTGCTGTGATCTACCACCATTTAAAGCATACCACTACCATAAGCATTCACATCACAACGTTACAAGCGATAATCGCTTGACACAATGCCTATTATTTTCTTGTTCACTATTTATTCAACTACTATTCTCGTTTAAATAAACATAAAACTATCCTTGATATCGGCATTACACGCAGTATTTCCCAAGTCCGAACTCCCTAGCTTGCATACCATAACAACCCGTTCCTATCGCAAAACTTCACTCTCTTTCATCCGCGTCAACAAACATGTATTCGTTATATCTTTCGCACCAACAATCATTTGCACCAACATACCCTGATAAAACACACATAACAATGATGTATTTAATATTATTTCATCATGACGCACCTACGGCTCCCGGTCAAAAAACCCCTGGATATAAACCCCCCGACATAAACCCCCCCGGACAAAACCCCCCGCGACATAAACCCCCCGGATGATAACCCCCGGACTGAGGTTTATATAAAGAAATAACGACGATGATGTGAACCAGAAAAAAAAAATACATTAAATTAATTTAATTTTTTACGACTAAGAAAATAGTTTCTACCTAAAAAAATGCTATTCGAAATCAAGGAGTGACCTTAGTTGTATTTGATCAAAGATCGGGCACCGACAACACCTTAGATATAGGTCATCCACATGTGGGAGCCGTGCGGATCAAAGTAACACATTTTTAACAATACAAAAGATTTGAGATATTCACTGGCGGAAGCTTGGTTAATAAATTAATATCCACTTTGGCACACAGAAGCATGGTATGAATACGACATCAAATTTATGTCTCCACAAATCGTATAATTTCTGGAATGGAGTTCGTTCAATCCAATAAAGGCAATTTAAAGGTGATTTTTACTTTCTCGTATATACGAAGTATAGAGAAAGTCTTGTAATCGTGCAAAAAAAAAAATCGAGATTTTTACAAATCTCGACGTTTTACACCTCACTGATACGGAAAAACATAATTTTGCAACCTTGTCCGTATGTCTGTGTGTCTGTCTATGTGTCTGTCTGTCTGTCTGTCCGTGTGTAAACACGATAACTTGAGTACCGTTACAGCAAGGTTGATGAAATTTCATATATAAGTATTTTATCAAAATCGTAGATCCGTATCAACTTTTGAGTGATTTCCGATAACCGGAAGTGGTACTTTTCCTACTTTGAATTTTTCAAAAGCCTATAACTTGAGTACTATTTCAGATAGATAAATGAAATTTCACATGTAAGTAAAATATCTAATTCTCTACCTTCTGTTAAATTTTGAGTAATTTCCGTTGACCGGAAGTAGTAATTTACGCTACTTCTGATTTCTCAAAAAACTTTTTAAAAGTTTAAAAGTACTAATAATATTGCGCACTATTATGCGCTTTTTTATTTGGCGTTCACTTGGTGTGCAATTAATTTGTCTACGAGATTTTATTCTATTTTTAAAACTTTAAGTATTTAAAATGGATTAAAAATCATGTCTATAGCCCGAGTTCCCATCCCCTGTTATTTTATATAAGAATATTCGAGAAAGTTTAGGGGAGATCACTCCCGGTTTATTGAAGGCTATGTTTATGTCAAGCAAAAAGATCTGGCGAACGGCGTTGTGTCATTTGAGTGTGCCAAAAGACACAGCAATCATCACTCAGTCAATTACTACGATTACTGAAGATGCCAAGGCCAAGCTGCCCTCGGTTCCACACATACGGCGTAACATCAGGCGTCAACGTCAAACGTTAAATCATCCACATCGCTCACAATCTGTCTTTTTAAAGTTATAATAAAAATAAAACAGTTATAAATATTAATTTTGGTTCTCATCATCTTTGGTTTTTCCTTATATAAACCTCAATTGGGGGTTTTTTGTCCAGGGGTTTATGTCGCGGGGTTTTTTTGCCCAGGGGGTTTATGTCGGGGGGAGGGGGGGGGGGGGTTGTCCAGGTTTTTTTTTGACCGGACACCCGCACCTACATTTCAATCGCAGTCATTTTTTAGTCCTCGTCAAGGGCTTTGAGTCTGACCAACAGTTTTTCCATACGGCCTAGTCATCTATATAGGTGCATGCAAAAAATTAGCCAGATATACAGAGCTTAAGTACCCTAAGATGTGTGTTGAAATAATCCTATTTTTCACATAAAATACAAAGATTATATAGGGAAACACGACTGGTCAGTTTTTTTCCCGGATATGGCGAGATTTTTCTGACACCCCTAGGCATTATCCTACCAACCCACAATATATCAAGGAGGGTCGTTCGGCAAAAGTTTTTTTTCCCGTAATATATCTCACGAGCCGACCCGCGGTGTATCATACGCCGCTATTTAGTTGTTTTTTTTCTACTTTTCAGTAATTCATAATTTGTGAATTCGACAGTACCAATGCTGCCACTGAAAATATTTGCTTTAAAACACTACCCCCCCCCCCATTCCGTGAAAGCAGTTAGTTACCTCCTTTAAGATTAAAATCGTTTCAAACTAAATTATCTGCCCCTAAAAGCCGTCACCAAACCCGGCTCTACGACTTGTAAACATTTTTAGCGTGAACCACAGCTCACCTGACCATGTGAGGGGGAGGGGGTGGGGGGGTGGTGGTGGTAGGTAGCGATAGATAGGAAGAGAGGGGACTGCAAGGCGCGCTTTGCAGCTTGTTTTCTAACGTCTCACAGAAGAGAATTATATATATAGATATAAAGAGAATTTCACTCCCGGTCATCTTTTAGCCCTCTTCGAGGGCTTTGAGTCAAATCGACAGGTTTCACGTACGGCCTAGCCATTTACCTAGGAGCATGCAAAAAATTAGCCAGATGTTCACACGGTAAGTACCCTAAATTCCGTGTTGAAATTACCCTGTTTTTCCCATAGGGAAATACGACTGGTCAGTTTTGACCAGTTTCTAGATTTTTCCCGGATATGGCAAGCTTTTTCTGACACCTCTATGCGTTCTCCTACTACCTCACAAAATATCAAGGGGGGGGGGGTCGTTCGGCAAAAGTTTTTTTTCGTAATATAGCCAATATAAGGCACCGGTCAGTCGAGCTCAATTTTGACCCCCTCTCCGTAGATTTTGCAGCCAACCGGCCCCCGTGTTCTATTGCCCCGAGGCAGGAGCCTGCCGAATTTGAAGCGCCTGCGGCGCCGGGAAGTGCACGATCGGGCACCCGAGCACTTTGCTTTATGAGGGAAAATCGCACCCTCACGGGGCGACGCCTTTGCAAAATTAAAACATTTTTTTTTTTACAGAAACCTCACCTAGAGTGTTATAATCAACTCCCCAAAGTTTGATGGCGATCGGATGAACGGTGTCAAACCGCAATCGACTTTTTATACCGTATATAGAGAAAAAACAAATCGCAGCGATTTTGGGGAGTTGATTATAACACTCCAGGTGAGGTTTCTGACACCCCTGCGAATTTGACATTTTTTCCCGCAGAAACCCCCCCATGAGAATTCTCAACAGCTTCCTTAAACAAACAGACAGATATACACTGATATATATATATATATATATATATATATATATATATATATATATATATATATATATATATATATATATATATATATATATATATATATATATATATATATATATATTTTTTTTTTTCTAGTTCCATCTTTGTGAGACAAGCTAAAGTAATGAATATCACGTTAACTGTCCCGCGAAAGCTAGACTACCTAATGCATAGCCGTCTTCATAATAATTTGGGCCTACTAAATAAAAAAAAAAGAATAATACTTTTATAACTAGTGTACTAGATCTAGATTATCTTAAAATTCTAAGTGGCTATTAACATTTCATCTCGGTATTTGTTGTTTTTAAATTTTATTCCAGGTAAATACGGCGGAGGGAGTTTGGCTGTTCCCATCGTCGTTAAAACAGTGCTGTCCCGACAGCTAGGCCTGAACTAAGCCTACACACTTTGAGGCTAAAGCCGGGCCCACGGAAACTGAATGTAGTGAAAGGTAGTGATGTCACTCAGGTAGAAATTAGGTTTATAAACAACACGCGAAGTAAAATAGAATGACAATAACAATTAGTGATTTTAAATGTAAAAAGTGGAGATTTCAGTAAAGTTATCGACCCGTCAGTTCATCCAGTTTTTTTTGAAAGATCGATCCTTCGTAGCCCAGCAGCCCCCGTTTGTCTCGACTAGATCTAGAACTCTGCAGCAGATCGAAGAAATTCCCACGGATTCTAGGACACGGAAGTGCTATTTTACAAGGAACACACAGACTGTCGTTCACGGTGGAGTTGCATGAATGGCTGACTGCCTGTCATTGCAAACACCCTGATAGGAAAAGCTGTGTGCATTTACAATGACCATTGTAATCACACTGATTCATATTTTAATCAGATAGCACTGCGGAATTATCTGAAGGCAATTTCTTGTCTCTCATCTTCCCTCTCTCCCAGCTGAGGGATTCCGCTCCGTCGTCGTTCAAAATGGCGTTCTTTCACACTCATCATTGTTTTCTATTTACAACGATTGTGCTAGCTCTTTTGTTTTATTCTGTTGCCTCGAATTCAAGCAATTGGGATTACAGTAACATAAATTTGGATGTTAATTTAGATCTAAATCTAGATCTACCTAGATCTAGTAAAGTTAGGAACCGCAGAGAGCAGTCTATTCATCTAAAATACACTCAAAATTTATCAGTGAATGTTCCTGTGTTAGAAAATGCACCAATGTCCACAAATCTGTTTGATTTTAATTCTGTCACCTTCGAGAATAATGCTGCTTCATATTTATTCAGAGTTTTGAAAAACGCAGACAGCATACCACAGAGTGATAATCTGTTTACAGTTGACAGCAGCAGAATTTTGCGCTTCAAAAATGAAACAGAAAGGAACAAATTCTTTGATTATGAGCTGTTTCCCAATGTTGTTGTTGTAGTTGAAGTTACATCTGATTCAGATTCCAACGGTATGGGTTTGTATGTTTTGTATTGTTTAGATTCGATTTGATTAGGCCTACAACAAATGATTATCCAGGTTTTCTGTGGAGGGGGGTGGGGAAGAAAAGAGCAAAAGAAGGAGCAAATTTTTAAACACTATTATTTTACTATTATGTGACTCTATCTGAATATCAGTCTAGCAGCCTTGATCTATTTCTATACTATATAAGGTCTAGATCAATAGAATAGTATTCTCTTGGGGGAATTTTTATACTAGTGTCCGATAATAGAACCTATAAAAAAGGGGTGTTATGTTACTCACTCTGGTATTTAATTAAATAGGCCTACACAAATGCCTGGCTAATGTCAATGCTAACCCTGTCCCAAACCCCAACCCTAGTCCTACCATACCCTTAACCCTAATTTCTAACCATAAAATTAGTCAACATTACAATACTACTAACAACCCAACACACCTATTTTATGGAAGCGTCTATTAATTATAGGACATCGGTATCTAACATCATCCATATTCTCTATGCATATATATATAATAGGCCTATGTAGGGCCTATATATATATCACATGGGCCCTTCTATACCTACCTTATAGGCCCTATACAATAGTACATACCTATGCAATTTAATAATTTTTAAGGAAAATGTTTTATCCTTTGTGCCTATATTAAAGAAAGCTATAATTTTTGAAAATTTACTGAAGTGTCAACAACCGAACTGAGTAATGGTGATTTTGTTCAGTATGATAGCTTGGGCGCCTAGGGTCTTAGACATTAAACCCCTCTCATTTACTTCCCGGCCACTACCCACCTGCTATATAATTATTACTCGTAATCTACCTTCTAGTGGGGCTTTAGTTTTATTCCTCTATTAAGGGTTGTCCATAAATGACGTCACAATCGTAGGGGGGAGGGGGTCCGTAATTTTGTGACAGTGGGGGAGGGGGTTGAGATGGTGCGACGCCACACTTTTGCATTATAAAAAAGCAATGTTTTAGACGTTATTTCGTGTTTTAGAAAACTGTTTTAATAAATTGTTATAGGAATTGATTAAAATATTCTATTTTGACAGAGTTCAGACAAGATTTTAGAAAAATCTCGATGTTTTAAAAAAAAAATCAACTGCAATTTTGGGGGGATTGTAGGCTGAGGTGTGACATCATTTTAGGGGGGTGGTCTGGAATTTTGGGGGGGGGGGGGAAACGTCCAAAAAAGCGTGGGGTCATTTATGGATGACCCCTTAATACTTTCATTTTGATAAAACTGCATTTGGGAAAATAAAGAGGGAAACTGGAAATATGTTGATGGGGGTGAAGAAAATTTCTGAAAATTGAAAAATAACCTTCAACAAATAAATTTGGTTAAATTATTTAAGGCTGCAGCTATTTATAGTTCACTGTGAAGGCTATTCTTACTCTGACCAATCAGCACAAGGCATTTTTCTGTGATTCTAAAATTCCCCTATTTATGAAATATTTATGCAATGTAGAACTTATTTTTATAGATCTAACCTTATCACTAACCCTGAACCATAACTCTAAACTTATCCACTTATCCTAATGCCTAACCCTAAACCATCTAAACCTACCCCAATGCCTAGCTCTAAGTCTAAACTTATCCCTAACCCCTAAATCTAAAGTAAAATGACAAAAAAAAGCAAAACAAAACTCAGAGCAAAAAGGAATGGAACCCTTGCCATGAAAACAAACCAGCTGATGCATAACTTTTTTGACCACCCAGCAGTTCCAATAATGTTCAAAAGTCAAGTGTCATGTGCAAGATGATAAAAAAAAATTATGCTCGCATGTACAGGACAATGAATTTAAAAATAAATTTGATTGGTTGGTTAAAAATAACGAGCTATGAATAGCCTACTGAGGGCTATTTGTAGTTAACTACCAATAGACACTCCCTTATTTAATTAGCATAGGCCCTATATTTTTATAATTAATAATTTTTTTTTTTTGGCCTAATGAAATTTCTAACTGGATTTAGTGCAAAGTTAAAATTCTTTAGGGCCTACGTGTTATAATTTTTGTTAAAACATGTTTGGGATTTAATTAACATAACCATAATTAGCATAGTTATAAAAAATGAAAATTTTTTAAGCCGAGACTTTAAATTTTGAAAGTGTGTGCTCAAAACTCAATATTAGTATATTTAAGTTACATTTTGAAATCAGCTGAGTGCTAGGAATTAGGATGAGCTTACTGTGCTTCAACGCAGGCGCACTCATCTGAAAATGCTGAAAAAAAAGTGATGTGGTTTTGTGCCCAATGTCTCAGAAAATGTTCCATATACCCATCGCATGTTTAGTATATATATATGTAGGTCAAGTATAACTACACTTGTTTCCATGATGCATGTCAAGTTTATACAGTAGGCCAATAAATAACCATCAGGTGTTATCAAGTAAATTAAAATGTTACATATTCAAAAGTCTTGAGTTGGATCCCAGTATTGAGTCTGTGCAACAACCCTGAGCACACCCAGCTCTTATAGGTACCTGACTCACATTAGGGAAAGTAAATGAGGCTGGACATAGTGACTCCACACTATCCTTTCATATGCAAAGGTCACTGAAACTGGTGAACTCCACTTCATCACCTGCCCCATGGACCTTAAGGGTTATTTTACTTTAGTATGGGAAATTATCTTCTGGGAATGGTCAGTTCTGTGGGTATGGGAAGCTACTATCTGGGAATGGTTTAGCTCTGTATGAGAAATTTCCTTGTTAGTTTATTGAAAGATAATTGCTGCTTATATTGGGTAACCTTTAACTTTATGAAAAAATACAAGTTCATTCAACAAAGTTGATCTTGTTGTTGATTCAACAAAGTTGATCTTGTATTGATTTTTCAGATGTGAAACTGTTGAAAGTGAACATCCCATTGGCTGACATCAATGATGAGCTGCCTGTGCTGAAGAACAAACCTTTCCCATACCAAGCAGCCATTCCTCTAGAGCCTGACCCTGGTCACATCGTGTATCAGCTCTTAGCTGTTGACCCGGATACCAACCCTGACCTGGAATATGCTTTAGCAGATGAAGCCGGTAAGAAGTTTTTGCTTCATTTAAAAAAAGTTAAATATTGTAAACTCTTTTTAAGCCTTGCACAATAGTTGTGTGTGGCAGCTACCTATAGACATATTGTCTGTAAGCCTTACACAATAGTTGTGTGTGGCAGCTACCTATAGACATATTGTCTGTAAGCCTTACACAATAGTTGTGTGTGGCAGCTACCTATAGACATATTGTCTGTAAGCCTTACACAAGAGCTGTGTGTGGCAGCTACCTATAGACATATTGTCTGTAAGCCTTACACAAAAGCTGTGTGTGGCAGCTACCTATAGACATATTGTCTGTAAGCCTTACACAAAAGCTGTGTGTGGCAGCTACCTATAGACATATTGTCAGTAAGCCTTACACAAGAGTTTAGCGTTGCTTACAGACAGAGTGGTTTCACTTTAAATTATAATGTCTGTAGGTAACTGCACGTTCTATAGGTCAAATGGTAGAGCACTTTGACTGCTAACTCAAAAATCTTGAGTTTGGATCCTGGGTTTGAGGCCGTACAACATCCCTGAGTCCACCCAGCTCTGACAGGTACCTGACTCATATTAGGGAAATTAAATGAGGCTGGGCTCCGTGCCTCCATACTATCCTTTCATTAGCAGAGGTCACTGAAATAGGTGAACTTGATTTCACCTACCCCATTGACCTTTAAGGTTTGAAATGGTATTTTACTTTAGTATGGGAAACCAACTTCTTGGAATGGTCTAGTTGAACAGCCTTTTCTTTATGAGATCTGTAGGTGCAAAGAATTTTCGTTCACATTTTATAGACACGTTTCTATTGAAAAACATAAATATCAAATGTGTGCAGAATGTGTCTGTGGTCATGACCCACATTGCTAGTAGACTTTAGTGCAGTCTGTCATAAGTTGTTAACAAAGTTACCTAATCAGACCAGATATAGAGCTTGTGAAAGAATCAATAATAGAACCATGTAAGTAGCTAGGCCAATGCCGCTGCCGAGAAAATCGGACAAATCGGCTTTTCCCTACCCCCTGCATGTTTAACTCTGTTTTTTGCATGATTTTATTGTGTTTATATTAACATGTTATACACCATTCTGTTCGTAATTGAATAACCTTTTAAACTGTATAATTTTGATTTTAATATGATTTCAAACGTTGAAGAAATCGCCGATTAAATCGCATTTTTTACCCTCCGCGGCGACGTGCCGATTAGGGGGGAGGCTTTTTCACCTTTTTAAAACAGGGGTGTAACTTTGAGTCTATAGACTCTTCGAGTTTTCGCCTTTCAACAGTGAAACTTGGCAGAAATACAGATTAGATGTAGACGTATACAGCGCAGGGTTCGTCGTCAAAATATATTAAATACTTTCGGAGATATCGTACAGCAAAGTTGAACCAAGTTTCCAGGGTTATTTATGGACCGATTTTTAATTTGAACCCTGCGCTGTATTGCTGAAATCTGGACGTTTATTAATATGTATGATATGTACTATAATGCCCTAAGATAGAGACGTCTATAGACTTTGAAGTGGACCGAAAATCAAAACATAACGCGCCGACCGCTGGCCGACTGAACCGCTCGGCTGTGCTTCGAATCGCCCTCTTTACAAAGACGACGCGTTTCAAAATTCTTATACACGAATCGAGTTTACATACTACAACAGTGAAACTTGGCAGAAATACAGATTAGATGTAGACGTATACAGCGCAGGGTTCGTCGTCAAAATATATTAAATACTTTCGGAGATATCGCACAGCAAAGTTGAACCAAGTTTCCCGGGTTATTTATAGACCGATTTTTAATTTGAACCCTGCGCTGTATTGCTGAAATCTGGACGTTTATTTATATGTATGATTTTCTCTACAATACCCCCAAATAAAGCCGCCCATACATTTTAAAATGGAGCAAAAATTAAAATTAACGCGCCGACCGCTGTCCGACTGCGTGCTCTGCTGTGTCGATCTACACACCGTGTGGCACATCCGAATGCCTGGTCATGTGACGCTAGGCGGTCGATCCGATTGGATGATACTGTAAACAATTTCTAAAGATAGATAGGCCTACATGTGTTCCCGTGTTAGATTAATCTATAAGCCGATAGGCATGTTTCATAATTTTGTCCTTACCCATTTAAAGGGGAAAAAGTCTTATTAATATTTACGGCTCAGGTTTCAAATTTATCTTGTTTTTAAAATTAATCCAGATGGTTACTGTCCGATTATAACAATTCTGCGTTTCGCGCACCCTAATTTCATTTAAAAGAGCATTTCTTTTTCATAAAAACGGCTTTAATTTTTTTTCCCGGTCCCCCTTTTTTTCACTACACACTTACATACGCTTAACAACGTGGAGGATACTAGCCTGCCAAATTGACCAAAAAGGGATGGGGTGGGTGTGGGTGGGCATTCTGTATAACACCCAACGTAACACCCATAGCCTACGTAAGCCTCACCCCGCCCCCACTAGTCCGTGACGCGACGAGCCGACGGTCGTCGCCTTTGATGTTGTACAACACCCGTACGGTACCTACTCAGTTCGTGGTGGATTCATACCCCACCTACCCCCACTTCACTTTGTGGAGTTGATGTTACTAACCCTCGGGCATAGATCAAGAAATCTTGCCAGACTTTTGTCTCTGAAAGTACATAATATTCGTCTGACACGTTCATCGGGTTGGCCGACTAGCCTATCCAGCGGTCGTGTTTACGTAATAGGGCAATAAAATTCGTTGGTCAGAAGACCTGGTTACCGACCATGTCTGATTGAACTAAATCTAGGCAAAAGCTGGTGGTGGTACACGTGTCTGTGTATAGCCAAACGCAGTAATCTTACACAATTTCTAGAATCTACTAGATCTACACAGTCAAGCACTCAAACACGTGCTTTTTTCTTAAGAAAGTTTTTAATTGTTAAAGGCCTACTGGTAGACCTACAAAAATACATAAGCCTACTTACTACTAGCATAAACATTGGGCTTAAATATAATTTATGTTATAGACCTATAACTTACACTAGATCTATACCTTGTGCAAGTTTTTAAAAAAAAATTTTCCTCCAAAAAATATTTTATTGAAATTGTAAAAAGGAATAATTTTAATATGGGTAATAATATTACATAATTATCATAAAGCACACTCTGATTCTGATCAGACACATTTGTGACTAGACTAATTTTATAGCAAAATAACAAGAAATATAATTATGATGAAATAGGCCTAAATTTTGGAATAGAGTAGGCCTAAAGTATTGGACATAGATTACATAACATCTTTTAAGAAGTTACATAATCACAAATTTACTATTGTAATAGCATTCTTCTCTTTGTATTGTAAAACTTGATTAGTTATATTTTCTTTTAGTAGGCTATTAACTTGAAGTTAACTGACAATGAGCAAAAGTGATTTCAAAAATAATTAATGGTATATTTTGAGCAAAGGGTGGTATTACATAACCTTAACATTTGATAGTTATGTAACAATGTTGGACCATTGTAAATACTACCATTAGCTTCAGCATATATAAATGTCATATTATAGATTAAAACAGTGTTACATTTAAACAATGACTTCTTATCACATTGATTATTAGATGTTTTAAAAAAAATAGAAAGGGGGGGTATTACATAATCTATGAGATTAGTCGATTATGTAATCGAAGGACACTTTTTAAAATAGCATCATTGGATTCGGCATACAAAAATCTATAAAATACAGTAACATGAAATCAATTGATGAAGTATGCTTGTTTTAATACCACTTTTAGTGAAAAACTCTTTAAAATTTGGTCCATACCCTCCCAGTATTTTTCCTCTTTCAGGGTCTACCCCGGTTGTCTGAAAAAACTGCTATTTTTTAATGACAAAAAAATTCATAACTTTTTTGTTTATGGTCAGATTTTGAAAATTTAAACTGATCTGTAATCAGATTGACAGCCCCTATCCAAATATGTAACTATTATATTGTTTTACTGAAATTAAATTTTTGCATTGGCCTAGCTAATGTAAGAATGGCTCATTGAGGTACACCTACATGAAGGATCCTGAAGTACATTTGTGTGAATGGCTCATTGTGTTGAGACCTTGTTAAATTTGTTGTGTTTATGCTTTATATGATTCAATGGGTGGGATCAACCTTGTACCACTGTTGCAGGCTATGAGGTCAGGAATTTTTTCTACATGGACCAGGTTATGGACGGCACTTTTAAAGAAGGTCACATTAAAATTTCACGGAGGTCAAGGTTTATTTTAGGAAGAGAATTTAACATTCCGGTAAATATGAAACACATTATACATTGAATAGTAAAGATGTTATATGACATAGCAAAATTAAGAGCATTGTATAAAAAATATGTTGTATGACATTAGCAAGATAAGGAGCATTTGATATTTTTTGTCAGATTGTAGTCAGAGACAGAAATGGTGTCAAGACCCAGTCAGTCAGTGCAGTGGTCAATGTCAAGGCTGGGCCTAGAGTCCCACAGTTTTTCCAAGAAAAGTATATTGGCTGGATATATGAAACACAGGGAACCAATAAACAGTACGTCTCTTAGTAAATCATGTTAAATGGCTTTGTATTAACTCACATATGCACTCACGTACACACACACACACACACACACACACACACACACACACACACACACTTGATACATCAAGCAACCTCCTACAATTAAAGAGGTCCTGGAAATCTTATTTATGGTAAAAATCCTCAAATCTTCTGAAATTACTAAAAAAATGTCCTGAAATGTAAACTTTCATGATAAAAGCACATAGGGAATGAATATACATGTTTATTTTGGAAACATAAATGTTAAGATGGGCAGTAGAGTAGATCTGGTAACATAAATGTTAAGATGGGCAGTAGAGTAGATCTGGTAACATAAATGTTAAGATGGGCAGTAGAGTAGATCTGGTAACATAAATGTTAAGATGGACAGTAGAGTAGATCTGGTAACATAAATGTTAAGATGGGCAGTAGAGTAGATCTGGTACAGACATGCCTACCGTCCCGCAAAAATCGGAACCGTCCCGCTTTTTCACCTAAAAAATTAATTTGTTCCGTCATTCCGAAATTGACTCGGTTCCGATTTTTTTGAAAAAAAAATTAATAAAGAAAGGTAATCAAGTAAATTGAAAAAATGTCAGGAAAAAGCGATTATCTCCCTTTGGCACACGTATCATCTAATACTAGATCTAGTTAGTAGTATATCTACTACTACTAGATCTAGAATTGTAACTAGATCTACTAGTAGATACTGAAATAGTGAATACTGATCTATCTTGTAAGTTTAACTTAACCAGTAACTACTATTATGAAGAACTTAGTAAGAAGTAACTAGGAGTTTTACTAGGTAGATCAAGGGTCTTTGCTTGTAACTTATATATTACAGATGATGAAGCCTTCAGCATTTGTTATTCATATAGCCTAGAACATAGCAAGACATAAATATTCAAATCAATAATGTTTTGTCAAAGCTATGATTTTTATTGGGGGGAGGGGGTTTACTGGTTAATTTATTTTTTTAAATGTAAGCTGACATTAAGCAGTATTTAAATGTATCCTAGAGACTAGTTATATAGGACTAGAAGCCTACTAATGTCATTAGAGTAATTTTTAATTAATTATTTTTATTTTTGACTTGTAAAGTTGCGTCCGCGCGTATGTTCCTCTTTTTGGCTTCAAATTCCTCTTTTTAGGCATAACTGTTCCTACTTTTGGCTGACAGGGTTAGGCATGTCTGCTGGTATCTAGAAACTGTTGCAGCATCTGGTCAGTTGAGGCCTTTGTCAACATTGTCACTTTGCGGGGCTAGTGGGACATCCAATCAAAAACTCTTCAAAATAAATTAATTACTTGGACCACATTTGAACTCCGTCAAGGGATTATTTCATTTGATTATGCCAAGTATGCTAAATTATCATGCTATTTGACATCATGTAATGTAGTCAATATCCCAGAAAGTGCAAGTAATCCAGGTTTAGATGTACAGAACATGCGTGATGACTCCATTGTGTAGTGTGCTGTTGATGGAAATAAATATGACTTAGCCTCCCATCCCACTCATGTCACATTAGGCTAAATTCCCTTACAATGATAGCCACATTAGGCTAAATTCCCTTACAATGATAGTCTCATTAGGCTAAATTCCCTTACAATGATAGCCACTCATGTCAAATTAAGCTAAATTCCCTTACACTTACAATGATATCCACTCATGTTACATTAGGCTAAATTCCCTTACAATGATAGTCACTCATGTCACATGAGGCTAAATTCCCTTACAATGATAGTCACTCATGTCACATTAGGCTAAATTCCCTTACAATGATATCCACTCATGTCACATGAGGCTAAATTCCCTTACAATGATATCCACTCATGTCACATTAGGCTAAATTCCCTTACAATGATATCCACTCATGTCACATTAGGCTAAATTCCCTTACAATGATAAAACAAAGTTCCAAAGTCATTGAAAGTGTGAGGTAACTTTTTCACTGTCATTGTCTATATGATTTGATCAGTGTCTATGTGAATGAGCCTTTGTGTCCTAACTACTTGATGCCTTGAGCCATTGTGTCCTAACTACTTGATGCCTTGAGCCATTGTGTCCTAACTACTTGATGCCTTGAGCCATTGTGTCCTAACTACTTGATGCCTTGAGCCATTGTGTCCTAACTACTTGATGCCTTATTTCAATGTCCCAGAGTGTTTGCTCAAGGCACAAGTGAAGAACTCCTGCACATCCAAGTTCACCAGTTCCAGCAGAATTACCCCAAGACCTTCATCATACTGGATGAGACTGACAAAGAATCCACACAGTTCCGCATTGATGAGAATGGCTATATCTTTAATAAAGATGTAAGTACTTCCACCCTGGTCAACATAGGGCATGTTTTAACAGCTGATGGTTTGTTATGAAACTTGGATCTGTTATCCATAATTTGACCTTTTAGGCATTAGATCATGATGTTATCAATAATTTGACCTTTTAGGCATTAGATCATGATGTTATCCATAATTTGACCTTCTAGGCATTAGATCATGATGTTATCAATAATTTGACCTTCTAGGCATTAGATCATGATGTTTTCAATAATTTGACCTTCTAGGCATTAGATCATGATGTTATCAATAATTTGACCTTCTAGGCATTAGATCATGATGTTGTGATAAGTCAGCGTCCCCCTAAGACTAGACTTGTGGTAAAAGTTACAGAAACTTCAGACAGTGGAGTACTGATTCAAACTGTTCCTGTGAGTCCTGTGTGTTGGTCGTTGGTTGGTTGGCCTCAATATGGCTGAGGGTTGCCAGCAAGGGTGGATTGATGTGAGGGTGGCCATGAAGGGTGGATGTGCGGGTGGGCATCAAGGGTGGATGTGAGGGTGGTCATGAAGGATAGATGTGAGGGTGGATGTGAGGGTGGCCATGTAGGGTGGATGTGAGGGTGGCCATGAAGGGTAGATGTGAGGGTGGGCATGAAGGGTAGATGTGAGGGTGGGCATGAAGGATGGATGTGAGGGTGGCCATGTAGGGTGGATGTGAGGGTGGGCATGTAGGGTGGATGTGAGGGTGGACATGAAGGGTGGATGTGAGGGTGGCCATGTAGGGTGGATGTGAGGGTGGCCATGAAGGGTGGATGTGAGGGTGGGCATGAAGGGTGGATGTGAGGGTGGGCATGAAGGGTGGATGTGAGGGTGGCCATGTAGGGTGGATGTGAGGGTGGCCATGAAGGGTGGATGTGAGGGTGGGCATGAAGGGTGGATGTGAGGGTGGACATGAAGGGTGGATGTGAGGGTGGGCATGAAGGGTGGATGTGAGGGTGGACATGTAGGGTGGGCATCAAGGGTGGATGTGAGGGTGGGCATCAAGGGTGGATGTGAGGGTGGGCATGAAGGGTGGATGTGAGGGTTGCCATGTAGGGTTGATGTGAGGGTGGGCATGAAGGGTGGATGTGCGGGTGGGCAGGAAGGGTGGATGTGAGGGTGGGCATGAAGGGTGGGCATGAAGGGTGGATGTGAGGGTGGGCATGAAGGGTGGATGTGAGGGTGGGCATGAAGGGTGGATGTGAGGGTGGATGTGAGGGTTGCCATGTAGGGTGGATGTGAGGGTGGGCATGAAGGGTGGATGTGAGGGTGGCCATGTAGGGTGGATGTGAGGGTGGGCATGAAGGGTGGATGTGAGGGTGGCCATGTAGGGTGGATGTGAGGGTGGCCATGTAGGGTGGATGTGAGGGTGGCCATGTAGGGTGGATGTGAGGGTGGGCATGAAGGATGGATGTGAGGGTGGCCATGTAGGGTGGATGTGAGGGTGGGCATGGAGGGTTGCCATGTAGGGTTGATGTGAGGGTTGCCATGTAGGGTGGATGTGAGGGTGGCCATGTAGGGTGGATGTGAGGGTGGGCATGAAGGGTGGATGTGAGGGTGGGCATGTAGGGTGGATGTGAGGGTGGGCATGGAGGGTTGCCATGTAGGGTTGATGTGAGGGTTGCCATGTAGGGTGGATGTGAGGGTGGCCATGTAGGGTGGATGTGAGGGTGGGCATGAAGGGTGGATGTGAGGTTGGCCATGAAGGGTGGATGTGAGGGTGGCCATGTAGGGTGGATGTGAGGGTGGCCATGTAGGGTGGATGTGAGGGTGGGCATGGAGGGTGGATGTGAGGGTGGATGTGAGGGTTGCCATGAAGGGTTGTTGTGATGGTGGTTGTGATCTGTTACAGCTGGAGATCACCATCAAGGATGAGAATGACAACAGCCCAAGGTTTGAGCTGACCCAGTACATGACAACTGTAAGGGAGGACAAACCAATAGGAACTTCAGTCTTTACAGGTACACTCAATATCACAGGGATATCAAGCAGTTTAGACAACAGTCTAGCACATAGCTCTCACACTCAATCTTTTCTCTGTTTCCTAGTTGTGGCTGAAGACAATGATTCAGGCTTAAATGCTGAAGTAACTTATGAACTGGAGAATCCTTTCTTTGAAATCAAGAAAGTTGGTAAAGAAGGAATTATCTATGTCAAGGAGTAAGTTTTCCATCTCTTACTGTAACAAGATGCCCATTAGAGATACATTTGATAATATGCATGTACATTCAGCAAGAGGTTAGTAATTAAGGAATTGTATTCTTATGTTACATACAACCTGGCAACATACCTGACAACATACCTACAGAAGTAATATACAATGATCCATCAACAGCCGATTTATGATCTATTCGTAATTGAAAGACAGCTCACTTGTTCACATGCTGACTATGTATAAGATAAAGTAGAAAGCCTACATTGCTTTTGGGGCATTCATAAGGGACTTGACAAGTTTACAGGGAGGGGTTCAGCTGGGGGGGTGATATTTTTTACTTCTTATGGGCAAAACTTATTTAGTAATCAGTTTTTGTTTCAATTAGAGATCATTGATATATTATGTACCAAACTTAGTTGAAAATAATTTTTCCTTTCGCCACAATGTTTCCTTTCATTTTAAAACGAAGTTTCTTTTATTCGACTAGATTTGAATTTATTTGAATAACCTTTGGGTTAAAAATGATTATTTCTTTTCTCTTCAAAAGCAAGCTTGACTTTGATGCATTCCCTGGCCCAACATATCGCTTTGTTGTGTTTGCTAAAGACAGCGGAGCACCATCTTTGTCCAGTTCAGTGGATGTGACAGTAACAACATCAAATGTTAACGATGAGCAACCAAAGATTATCCAACCTGAATCTTTAATCCTGCGAGACATTGTGCCTAATAATTTTATTCTGACGCGCCTGAGGGCCACAGATGCTGATGGGGATAATGTCAGGTTTTACTTTACACGTAAGTTTGCCTACATGTGTAGACTAGCCTTCTGGGTTGGGGCAACATTTATTACACCATTCCTCACTGCTTTCTATTTCATTTCAAAACCTGAAACAAGTTTTAAGAACCATGCACCAAGTAACTAACGTGTCTCTTCTTGTAGCAAGTCCCTAGCAACCGTAGCTGATTTCTAAGCTTTTGTGACCATGTTTGCAACTGCTCTACGGCCTACTAATGTTTATCTAATAGTAGCAGTTATGTGACTTTTCATATTTTTAACAAAAATCCAATTTTTCCTCAGCTGATTTCATTTTTTCCTAATTTTTCCACTGAATTTTTATTTTTTGTCAACTATTTAGGAAGTTTTGAAAATTAGGGAAAAAAAACAGAAATGACTTCTATGGAAATATTCCTATTTAAATCAAGTATTACAACAATTGGGTCAAACGGACAATTGAATATGTGCCAATCGTTTTTAATTGGACGGTGCTATGTCTGATGGTGCTAGATTAAAATTTAATATAGGTCAAGATTCAGAATTTTGGCGAATTTCTGAATTTTTCAGAAGTCGAAATTTTCCGCTGATATTTTCAGATAAATATTGATCAGAAACATGAAAAATGTTTATCTAAAATAATGCCGCTCTTCAGATGAAACTTGCATCTCCCAAGTCTGCTTGACAGTGAATCTCGTTTGCGCAGTAGTCTAGCTGAAGTCTAATTTATCAACTGGTATTTTAACTCTCCCAAATATACTGTTTCTCTCTGCTTCTAATTCTATTTTATTCCGCAATCTCAAATAATATTGAAACCCTGCAAAAGGTGGCTATGAGGTCTAGACTAACCTGTCCCTCTTAGTTGCAAGGGTGGCTCTTGTGATCACATCATGACCCCAAGTATGTGCTTGCTACAGCTTGTTTGGGGAAAAATAAAAGTGACATCATAGTCCAACTCAAACAGCTATATTTCTGCCATGATGTATGTTGGGCCTACTGATTTTACAAATCATGTCTTGTTTGGGGAAAAATAAAAGTGACATCATAGTCCAACTCAAACAGCTATATTTCTGCCATGATGTATGTTGGGCCTACTGATTTTACAAATCATGTCTTGTTTGGGGAAAAATAAAAGTGGCATCATAGTCCAACTCAAACAGCTATATTTCTGCCATGATGTATGTTGGGCCTACTGATTTTAAAAACCATGTCTTGTTTGGGGAAAAATAAAAGTGGCATCATAGTCCAACTCAAACAGCTATATTTCTGCCATGATGTATGTTGGGCCTACTGATTTTAAAAACCATGTCTTGTTTGGGGAAAAATAAAAGTGGCATCATAGTCCAACTCAAACAGCTATATTTCTGCCATGATGTATGTTGGGCCTACTGATTTTACAAACCATGTCTTGTTTGGGGAAAAATAAAAGTGACATCATAGTCCAACTCAAACAGCTATATTTCTGCCATGATGTATGTTGGGCCTACTGATTTTACAAACCATGTCTTGTTTGGGGAAAAATAAAAGTGACATCATAGTCCAACTCAAACAGCTATATTTCTGCCATGATGTATGTTGGGCCTACTGATTTTACAAACCATGTCTTGTTTGGGGAAAAATAAAAGTGACATCATAGTCCAACTCAAACAGCTATATTTCTGCCATGATGTATGTTGGGCCTACTGATTTTACAAACCATGTCTTGTTTGGGGAAAAATAAAAGTGACATCATAGTCCAACTCAAACAGCTATATTTCTGCCATGATGTATGTTGGGCCTACTGATTTTACAAATCATGTCTTGTTTGGGTAAAAATAAAAGTGACATCATAGTCCAACTCAAACAGCTATATTTCTGCCATGATGTATGTTGGGCCTACTGATTTTAAAAACCATGTCTTGTTTGGGTAAAAATAAAAGTGACATCATAGTCCAACTCAAACAGCTATATTTCTGCCATGATGTATGTTGGGCCTACTGATTTTACAAACCAAGGCTTGTTTGGGGAAAAATAAAAGTGGCATCATAGTCCAACTCAAACAGCTATATTTCTGCGATGATGTATGTTGGGCCTACTGATTTTACAAACCATGTCTTGTTTGGGTAAAAATAAAAGTGACATCATAGTCCAACTCAAACAGCTATATTTCTGCCATGATGTATGTTGGGCCTACTGATTTTACAAACCATGTCTTGTTTGGGTAAAAATAAAAGTGGCATCATAGTCCAACTCAAACAGCTATATTTCTGCCATGATGTATGTTGGGCCTACTGATTTTACAAACCAAGGCTTGTTTGGGGAAAAATAAAAGTGACATCATAGTCCAACTCAAACAGCTATATTTCTGCCATGATGTATGTTGGGCCTACTGATTTTACAAACCATGTCTTGTTTGGGGAAAAATAAAAGTGACATCATAGTCCAACTCAAACAGCTATATTTCTGCCATGATGTATGTTGGGCCTACTGATTTTACAAATCATGTCTTGTTTGGGGAAAAATAAAAGTGACATCATAGTCCAACTCAAACAGCTTTATTTCTGCCATGATGTATGTTGGGCCTACTGATTTTACAAATCATGTCTTGTTTGGGGAAAAATAAAAGTGACATCATAGTCCAACTCAAACAGCTTTATTTCTGCCATGATGTATGTTGGGCCTACTGATTTTACAAATCATGTCTTGTTTGGGGAAAAATAAAAGTGACATCATAGTCCAACTCAAACAGCTATATTTCTGCCATGATGTATGTTGGGCCTACTGATTTTACAAATCATGTCTTGTTTGGGGAAAAATAAAAGTGACATCATAGTCCAACTCAAACAGCTATATTTCTGCCATGATGTATGTTGGGCCTACTGATTTTACAAATCATGTCTTGTTTGGGGAAAAATAAAAGTGACATCATAGTCCAACTCAAACAGCTATATTTCTGCCATGATGTATGTTGGGCCTACTGATTTTAAAAACCATGTCTTGTTTGGGGAAGAAAAATACGATACTATTTCTAATAAGGGGTCTTCCATACATGACATCAGAAGCATGGGGGGAAGTTCCGTAATTTTTTTGACATGTGATGAGGGGAAGGGGCAGATACTTCATACTATTGCATTTTAAACAGTAGTGTTACAAACTGAATTCTAGCAGTTATTTTGCGTTTTAGAAAACTTTTTTAATAAATTGTAAAAGAAATTGATTAAAATACCCTATATTGGTGGAGCTCAATCAATATTAAAATTGAAAAAAAAAGAATCAATGTTTAAAAATAATGTAATTTTGAGGGTGGTGGGACAGTTGTTGGCTGAGGTGTTTTTATGATGGAGGGGAGTGGGAAGGTAAAAATCTTCAAATTAAAGCATGACGTCATTAATGGATGACCCCTAACAATCTACAGCTATTCAAAAACTCGAAATAGCTTTGTGGCTTGGTTCAAATGTTTTTACAAGTATTAATTCCAAAACACTTATTCAAATAAAAATCAGATCCTTTCAAATTTCAGCTAATCTAAACGATTTCATTTTCCACCACATGAACTAAAACTTTCAAATAACAATTAATCTAAATCTAGGCTCTTGAATTTGAAGACTTACATTTTTACCATGCCCTTCTCTAAAAGAATATAACTTTTATTATGAGGTATAATTCAAAATTGAAAATAAGAGTAGGAATAGATCATTGCAGTTTAAATAAACTTAATGTTAAAATAAAATTTAATTGTTACATTGTAAAATTATTTTTTTCAACAATTTTTATAAGGTAAACATTAGACTGCAATTAGACAAGACTTTCAATGTTATTTTAGAGTAACATAAACTTTTATTTTTAAAATATTAGCTACATTGAACAATTAACCAATACAGTTACGGTGTGAGACTGTTTTAACTGTGATAAAAAATAGATAAAACCTTGAGTTCTTGTCTGAAAAGTTTTAAATTTTTTATTTTCATGGTTTGTCACATCCCTGCAGTAATCAAAGGTTATTTTGAAAGCTTGTATAATGATGTGGCTAAATAATTATTTTTGGCTAAAATGCTTTGTGTTTTGAACTATTATTTCCAAAACACAATATAATTTCAGCTATTCTGGTCGATCTTACTGCCCATCCCATGAGCTAAAAGTTAATAAACCGGTAGTGATCTCCTCTAAACTTTCTTGAATATTCTTATATAACTCGGAATATAGACATGATTTTTGATTACTTAAACATTTAAAATAGAATAGAATCTTGTAGAAAAAAAGAATTGTGCACCAAGTGAACGCCAAAACAAAATGTGCATAATAGTGCGCAATATTATTAGTACTTTATAAATTGACATGTGTTTTTTGAGAAATCGGAAATAGCGTAAATTAGTACTCCCGGTCAACGGAAATTACTTAAAATTTGACAGAAGGTAGAGATATAGATCTTTTACTTACATTTGAAATTTCATTTATCTATCTAAAATAGTACACACAGACAGACAGACAGACACACAGACAGACACACAGACATACGGACAAGATTGCAAAATTATGTTTTCCGTATCAGTGAGGTGTAAAACGTCGAGATTTGTAAAAATCTGGATTTTTTTTTTTTTGCACGATTACAATACTTTCTCTATACTTTGTATATATGAGAAAGTAAAAATGAAGATGCCATATCTTTAAATTGAAAATGAGCAGAAATTGATCATTACAGTTTAAATCAGTTAAATGTTGGAACAAAAATTATTTCCTGTTTTGTTAAATTGTGAATTTGCAAAAAAACAAAACAAGTTATAAGGGCTAATTTGCAATTCAAAAGGACTTATTTTTGTACAATGATATTTTGAGTCTGCTTTTTTGCGAGATACATTAACTAAATTAGATCTGCTAAAAGTGTATTGAGTCTGATATGAAATAAATCGGGAGTGATCTCCCGAAAACTTTCTCGAATGTTCTTATATATTATAAAACAACGGGGGATGGCAACTCGGGATATAGACATGATTTTTAATCCATTTTAAATACTTAAACTTTTTAAAATAGAAAAAAATCTTGTAGAAAAAAGAATTGCACACCAAGTGAATGCCAAATAAAATGTACATAATAGTGCAGAATATTATTAGTACTTTATAAATTTACATGTGCTTTTTGAGAAATCGGAAATAGCGTAAATTACTACTTCTGGTCAACAGCAATTACTCAACATTTGATAGAAGGCAGAGGATTAAATCTTTTACTTACATGTGAAATTTCGTTTATCTATCTGAAATAGTACTCAAGTTATAGGCTTTTGAAAAATTGAAAGTAGAAAAAATTCCACTTCAGGTTATCGGAAATCGCTCAAAAGTTGATATAGATCCACAAATATGATATAATACTTATATATGAAATTTCATCAACCTAGCTGTAATGGTACTCAATTTATCGTGTTTACAGACACACACACACACACAGACAAGATTGCAAAACTATGTTTTTCCGACTCAGGGAGCTGCAAAATGGCGAGATTTAAAAAAAAATAATCTCGATTTCCCCCCCCCCCCCCCCCCTTTCCCCAATTACAAGACTCTCTATACTACATATATAAAGTAATAAGACATCATAAAGGAATTTTGATGCAGTCTGATTTTTTTAATTTAGTGCATGAATTCTGTGTACTGAAGTGATGATCATTTTTTTTCAAGTATTTCTGATTCTCCTTTGATTGCTGATTTAATTTAGTGCATGAATTCTGTGTAGTTTTAAGCGATACATACTTTTTATGGTAAATTTTGTTTGTTCTGCAGCTCAAAAAGAGACTTATGATATTTTTACCATCAAGCCTTCCTCCGGAATCATTCAAGTACAGGGCACTGTGCCACCCAACAGAAGCTCGTATTCCCTCAGTGTGACTGCCATTGATGATGGCTCTTGCTGTGGGGGCACTCAGAAGCTGGAGAGTCAGGCCACCCTGGTGGTTGAGATTGTGGAGGCAGTCAACCAGAAACCTTCCTTTGTTGATTGCTCAGAGTACAACAACAGGTCACTGTTTTATGAGGAATCAGCACCTGATACACCCGTCATAAAGGTAACCTAATGGCCTGTGGGGTAACCTTTGGTGGCCTGTGGGGTAACCTTTGGTGGTCTGTGGGGTAACTTTTGGTGGTCTGTGGGGTAACTTTTGGTGGTCTGTGGGGTAACCTTTGGTGGCCTGTGGGGTAATCTTTGGTGGTCTGTGGGGTAACCTTTGGTGGTCTGTAGGGTAACCTTTGGTAGCCTGTGGGGTAACCTTTGGTGGCCTGTGGGGTAACCTTTGGTGGCCTGTGGGGTAACCTTTGGTGGTCTGTGGGGTAACCTTTGGTGGTCTGTGGGGTAACCTTTGGTGGTCTGTGGGGTAACCTAGTGGTCTGTGGGGTAACCTTTGGTGGCCTGTGGGGTAACCTTTGGTGGTCTGTGGGGTAACCTAGTGGCCTGTGGGGTAACCTTTGGTGGTCTGTGGGGTAACTTTTGGTGGTCTGTGGGGTAACCTTTGGTGGCCTGTGGGGTAATCTTTGGTGGTCTGTGGGGTAACCTTTGGTAGCCTGTGGGGTAACCTAGTGGCCTGTGGGGTAACCTTTGGTGGCCTGTGGGGTAACCTTTGGTGGCCTGTGGGGTAACCTTTGGTGGTCTGTGGGGTAACCTTTGGTGGTCTGTGGGGTAACCTTTGGTGGTCTGTGGGGTAACTTTTGGTGGTCTGTGGTGTAACCTAGTGGCCTGTGGGGTAACCTTTGGTGGCCTGTGGGGTAACCTAGTGGTCTGTGGGGTAACCTAGTGGTCTGTGGGGTAACCTTTGGTGGCCTGTGGGGTAACCTTTGGTGGTCTGTGGGGTAACCTAGTGGCCTGTGGGGTAACCTTTGGTGGCCTGTGGGGTAACCTTTGGTGGTCTGTGGGGTAACCTTTGGTGGCCTGTGGGGTAACCTTTGGTGGCCTGTGGGGTAACCTAGTGGCCTGTGGGGTGGCCTGTGGGGTAACCTAGTGGCCTGTGGGGTAACCAAGTGGCCTGTGGGGTAACCTTGGTGGCCTGTGGGGTAACCTTTGGTGGTCTGTGGGGTAACCTTTGGTGGTCTGTGGGGTAACGTTTGGTGGTCTGTGGGGTAACCTAGTGGCCTGCGGGGTAACCTTTGGTGGCCTGAGGGGTAACCTAGTGGTCTGTGGGGTAACCTAGTGGTCTGTGGGGTAACCTTTGGTGGCCTGTGGGGTAACCTTTGGTGGTCTGTGGGGTAACCTAGTGGCCTGTGGGGTAACCTTTGGTGGCCTGTGGGGTAACCTTTGGTGGTCTGTGGGGTAACCTTTGGTGGCCTGTGGGGTAACCTTTGGTGGGCTGTGGGGTAACCTAGTGGCCTGTGGGGTAACCTTTTGTGGCCTTTGGGGTAACCTAGTGGCCTGTGGGGTAACCAAGTGGCCTGTGGGGTAACCAAGTGGCCTGTGGGGTAACCTTGGTGGCCTGTGGGGTAACCTTTGGTGGTCTGTGGGGTAACTTTTGGTGGTCTGTGGGGTAACCTTTGGTGGCCTGTGGGGTAACCTTTGGTGGCCTGTGGGGTAATCTTTGGTGGTCTGTGGGGTAACCTTTGGTAGCCTGTGGGGTAACCTAGTGGCCTGTGGGGTAACCTAGTGGCCTGTCAGGTAACCTTTGGTGGTCTGTGGGGTAACCTTTGGTGGTCTGTGGGGTAACCTTTGGTGGTCTGTGGGGTAACCTTTGGTGGTCTGTGGGGTAACCTTTGGTGGTCTGTGGGGTAACCTTTGGTGGTCTGTGGGGTAACCTTTGGTGGTCTGTGGGGTAACCTTTGGTGGTCTGTGGGGTAACCTTTGGTGGTCTGTGGGGTAACCTTTGGTGGTCTGTGGGGTAACCTAGTGGGCTGTGGGGTAACCTTTGGTGGCCTGTGGGGTAACCTTTGGTGGTCTGTGGGGTAACCTTTGGTGGCCTGTTGGGTAACCTAGTGGCCTGTGGGGTAACCTTTTGTGGCCTGTGGGGTAACAGTGGCCTGTGGGGTAACCTTTGGTGGCCTGTGGGGTAACCTTTGGTGGCCTGTGGGGTAACCTTTGGTGGCCTGTTGGGTAACCTAGTGGCCTGTGGGGTAACCTTTTGTGGCCTGTGGGGTAACAGTGGCCTGTGGGGTAACCTAGTGGCCTGTGGGGTAACCTTTGGTGGCCTGTGGGGTAACCTAGTGGTCTGTGGGGTAACCTAGTGGTCTGTGGGGTAACCTTTGGTGGCCTGTGGGGTAACCTTTGGTGGCCTGTGGGGTAACCTTTGGTGGTCTGTGGGGTAACCTAGTGGCCTGTGGGGTAACCTTTGGTGGCCTGTGGGGTAACCTTTGGTGGCCTGTGGGGTAACCTTTGGTGGCCTGTGGGGTAACCTTTGGTGGCCTGTTGGGTAACCTAGTGGCCTGTGGGGTGGCCTGTGGGGTAACCTAGTGGCCTGTGGGGTAACCTTTGGTGGCCTGTGGGGTAACCTTGGTGGCCTGTGGGGTAACCTTTGGTGGTCTGTGGGGTAACCTTTGGTGGTCTGTGGGGTAACGTTTGGTGGTCTGTGGGGTAACCTTTGGTGGCCTGAGGGGTAACCTAGTGGTCTGTGGGGTAACCTAGTGGTCTGTGGGGTAACCTTTGGTGGCCTGTGGGGTAACCTTTGGTGGTCTGTGGGGTAACCTAGTGGCCTGTGGGGTAACCTTTGGTGGCCTGTGGGGTAACCTTTGGTGGTCTGTGGGGTAACCTTTGGTGGCCTGTGGGGTAACCTTTGTTGGCCTGTGGGGTAACCTAGTGGCCTGTGGGGTAACCTTTTGTGGCCTTTGGGGTAACCTAGTGGCCTGTGGGGTAACCAAGTGGCCTGTGGGGTAACCTTGGTGGCCTGTGGGGTAACCTTTGGTGGTCTCTGGGGTAACCTTTGGTGGTCTGTGGGGTATAGTTTCTTCCAGGCATCTCTTCAGGGGGGGGGGGGCTCCTATTGCTACTATTTGTGGCCTGTGGGGTAACCTAGTGGCCTGTGGGGTAACCTAGTGGCCTGTCAGGTAACCTTTGGTGGTCTGTGGGGTAACCTTTGGTGGTCTGTGGGGTAACCTTTGGTGGTCTGTGGGGTAACCTAGTGGCATGTGGGGTAACCTTTGGTGGCATGTGGGGTAACCTTTGGTGGTCTGTGGGGTAACCTTTGGTGGTCTGTGGGGTAACCTTTGGTGGTCTGTGGGGTAACCTTTGGTGGTCTGTGGGGTAACCTTTGGTGGTCTGTGGGGTAACCTTTGGTGGTCTGTGGGGTGGTCTGTGGGGTAACCTAGTGGGCTGTGGGGTAACCTTTGGTGGCCTGTGGGGTAACCTTTGGTGGTCTGTGGGGTAACCTTTGGTGGCCTGTGGGGTAACGTTTGGTGGTCTGTGGGGTAACCTTTGGTGGTCTGTGGGGTGGTCTGTGGGGTAACCTAGTGGGCTGTGGGGTAACCTTTGGTGGCCTGTGGGGTAACCTTTGGTGGTCTGTGGGGTAACCTTTGGTGGTCTGTTGGGTGGTCTGTGGGGTAACCTAGTGGGCTGTGGGGTAACCTTTGGTGGCCTGTGGGGTAACCTTTGGTGGCCTGTGGGGTAACCTTTGGTGGCCTGTGGGGAAACCTTTGGTGGCCTGTTGGGTAACCTAGTGGCCTGTGGGGTAACCTTTGGTGGCCTGTGGGGTAACAGTGGCCTGTGGGGTAACCTAGTGGCCTGTGGGGTAACCTAGTGGCCTGTGGGGTAACCTTTGGTGGCCTGTTGGGTAACCTAGTGGCCTGTGGGGTAACCTTTTGTGGCCTGTGGGGTAACAGTGGCCTGTGGGGTAACCTAGTGGCCTGTGGGGTAACCTAGTGGCCTGTGGGGTAACCTTTTGTGGCCTGTGGGGTAACCTTGGTGGCCTGTGGGGTAACCTTTGGTGGTCTGTGGGGTATAGTTTCTTCCAGGCATCTCTTCGGGGGGGGGGGGGGGGGCTCCTATTACTACTATTTGTCCTATAGCAGTTAGTCCTATTGCTAATATTTGTCCTATAGCTGTTTGTCCTATTGCTAATGTTTGTCCTATTTCTAATGTTTGTCCTATAGCAGTTAGTCCTATTGCTAATATTTGTCCTATAGCTGTTTGTCCTATTGCTACTTGATGTTTGTCCTATTGCTAATGTTTGTCCTATTGCTAATGTTTTTCTTATTATTGCTAATGTTTGTCCTATTGCTAATGTTTGTCCTATAGCTGTTTGTCCTATTGCTACTTGATGTTTGTCCTATTGCTAATGTTTGTCCTATTGCTAATGTTTGTCTTATTATTGCTAATGTTTGTCCTATTGCTAATGTTTGTCCTATAGCTGTTTGTCCTATTGCTACTTGATGTTTGTCCTATTGCTAATGTTTGTCCTACATCTGACAGGTTCAAGCTGTGGACAAAGACCGTGGCCTAAATGGCATTGTCACTTACTCAATAGAGTCGCCATCTCCCAGTTTAGCTGATGCCCCCTTTAAGATTGATCCCAGCACTGGTCAGATAAGTGTCAAATCCAAGGTCAACAGAGAAGCTTTGGATAAGGATTATATTCAGGTGAGGAAAGGTGTTCGCATGGCTACCTTAAGATTTGTTTCCTTTGTTTAGATAGCAATATAAACAGAAAGTGATATTTCAATGCCAAGGGTAGACAAAGGTACAGAATATAGTCCATTTTAAATACTGAAACTTGTTAAAATAGAATAAAATCTTGTAGAAAAAAGAATTGAACGCCAAATAAAATGTGCATAATAGTGCAGAATATTATTAGTACTTTATAAATTTACATGCACTTTTTGATAAATCGGAAATAACAAACCCAACGGGATCCGAACCTACCATTCCACATGGCACCAAATCGCCTTGCCTTCCATGCATCAAATCAGACAAACATTAGCAATAGGACTAACAGCTGTAGGACAAACATTAGAAAGCTCTATTTTAGTAGAGTTGATTGGCAGAAGTGGTTACACGTCTGACTTGATGCATGGAAGGCGAGGCGATTTTTGTTAAGATGTATGGGTTGGCTACCTTAAGATGTTTCCTTTGTTAAGATGTATAGGTTGGCTACCTTAAGATGTTTCCTTTGTTAAGATGTATGGGTTGGCTACCTTAAGATGTTTCCTTTGTTAAGATGTATGGGTTGGCTACCTTAAGATGTTTCCTTTGTTAAGATGTATGGGTTGGCAACCTTAAGATGTTTCCTTTGTTAAGATGTATGGGTTGGCTACCTTAAGATGTTTCCTTTGTTAAAATGTATAGGTTGGCTACCTTAAGATGTTTCCTTTGTTAAGATGTATGGGTTGGCAACCTTAAGATGTTTCCTTTGTTAAGATGTATAGGTTGGCAACCTTAAGATGTTTCCTTTGTTAAGATGTATGGGTTGGCTACCTTAAGATGTTTCCTTTGTTAAAATGTATAGGTTGGCTACCTTAAGATGTTTCCTTTGTTAAAATGTATGGGTTGGCTACCTTAAGATGTTTCCTTTGTTAAGATGTATAGGTTGGCTACCTTAAGATGTTTCCTTTGTTAAGATGTATGGGTTGGCTACCTTAAGATGTTTCCTTTGTTAAGATGTATGGATTGGCTACCTTAAGATGTTTCCTTTGTTAAGATGTATGGGTTGGCTACCTTAAGATGTTTCCTTTGTTAAGATGTATGGGTTGGCTACCTTAAGATGTTTCCTTTGTTAAGATGTATGGGTTGGCTACCTTAAGATGTTTCCTTTGTTAAGATGTATGGGTTGGCTACCTTAAGATGTTTCCTTTGTTAAGATGTATAGGTTGGCTGCCTTAAAGATGTTTCCTTCGTTAAGATGTATGGGTTGGCTACCTTAAGATGTTTCCTTTGTTAAGATGTATGGGTTGGCTACCTTAAGATGTTTCCTTTGTTAAGATGTATGGGTTGGCAACCTTAAGATGTTTCCTTTGTTAAGATGTATAGGTTGGCTGCCTTAAAGATGTTTCCTTTGTTAAGATGTATGGGTTGGCTACCTTAAGATGTTTCCTTTGTTAAGATGTATGGGTTGGCTACCTTAAGATGTTTACTTTGTTCAGATGTATGGGTTGGCAACCTTAAGATGTTTCCTTTGTTAAGATGTATGGGTTGGCTACCTTAAGATGTTTCCTTTGTTAAGATGTATGGGTTGGCTACCTTAAGATGTTTCCCTGATTAAGATGTATGGGTTGGCTACCTTAAGATGTTTCCTTTGTTAAGATGTATGGGTTGGCTACCTTAAGATGTTTCCCTGATTAAGATGTATGGGTTGGCTACCTTAAGATGTTTCCTTTGTTAAGATGTATGGGTTGGCTACCTTAAGATGTTTCCTTTGTTAAGATGTATGGGTTGGCAACCTTAAGATGTTTCCTTTGTTAAGATGTATGGGTTGGCTACCTTAAGATGTTTCCTTTGTTAAAATGTATAGGTTGGCTACCTTAAGATGTTTCCTTTGTTAAGATGTATGGGTTGGCAACCTTAAGATGTTTCCTTTGTTAAGATGTATAGGTTGGCAACCTTAAGATGTTTCCTTTGTTAAGATGTATGGGTTGGCTACCTTAAGATGTTTCCTTTGTTAAGATGTATGGGTTGGCTACCTTAAGATGTTTCCTTTGTTAAGATGTATGGGTTGGCTACCTTAAGATGTTTCCTTTGTTAAGATGTATGGGTTGGCTACCTTAAGATGTTTCCTTTGTTAAGATGTATGGGTTGGCTACCTTAAGATGTTTCCTTTGTTAAGATGTATGGGTTGGCTACCTTAAGATGTTTCCTTTGTTAAGATGTATGGGTTGGCTACCTTAAGATGTTTCCTTTGTTAAGATGTATAGGTTGGCTACCTTAAGATGTTTCCTTTGTTAAGATGTATGGGTTGGCTACCTTAAGATGTTTCCTTTGTTAAAATGTATGGGTTGGCTACCTTAAGATGTTTCCTTTGTTAAGATGTGTGGGTTGGCTACCTTAAGATGTTTACTTTGTTAAGATGTATGGGTTGGCAACCTTAAGATGTTTCCTTTGTTAAGATGTATGGGTTGGCTACCTTAAGATGTTTCCTTTGTTAAAATGTATAGGTTGGCTACCTTAAGATGTTTCCTTTGTTAAAATGTATGGGTTGGCTACCTTAAGATGTTTCCTTTGTTAAGATGTATGGGTTGGCTACCTTAAGATGTTTCCTTTGTTAAGATGTATGGGTTGGCTACCTTAAGATGTTTCCTTTGTTAAGATGTATGGGTTGGCTACCTTAAGATGTTTCCTTTGTTAAGATGTATGGGTTGGCTACCTTAAGATGTTTCCTTTGTTAAGATGTATAGGTTGGCTGCCTTAAAGATGTTTCCTTTGTTAAGATGTATGGGTTGGCTACCTTAAGATGTTTCCTTTGTTAAGATGTATGGGTTGGCTACCTTAAGATGTTTCCTTTGTTAAGATGTATGGGTTGGCTACCTTAAGATGTTTCCTTTGTTAAGATGTATGGGTTGGCTACCTTAAGATGTTTCCTTTGTTAAGATGTATGGGTTGGCTACCTTAAGATGTTTCCTTTGTTAAGATGTATGGGTTGGCTACCTTAAGATGTTTCCTTTGTTAAGATGTATGGGTTGGCTACCTTAAGATGTTTCCTTTGTTAAAATGTATAGGTTGGCTACCTTAAGATGTTTCCTTTGTTAAGATGTATGGGTTGGCAACCTTAAGATCTTTCCTTTGTTAAGATGTATAGGTTGGCTGCCTTAAGATTTGTTTCCTTTGTTAAGTAGTATGGGTTGGCTACCTTAAGATGTTTCCTTTGTTAAGATGTATGGGTTGGCAATTTTAAGATGTTACCTTTGTTAAGATGTATGGGTTGGCTACCATAAGATTCTTTTCCTTTGTTAAGATGTATGGATTGGCAACCTTAAGATGTTTCCTTTGTTAAGATGTATGGGTTGGCTACCTTAAGATGTTTCCTTTGTTAAGATGTATAGGTTGGCTACCTTAAAGATGTTTCCTTTGTTAAGATGTATAGGTTGGCTGCCTTAAGATGTTTCCTTTGTTAAGATGTATGGGTTGGCTACCATAAGATTTGTTTCCTTTGTTAAGATGTATGGGTTGGCTACCTTAAGATGTTTCCTTTGTTAAGATGTATGGGTTGGCTACCTTAAGATGTTTCTTTTGTTAAGATGTATGGGTTGGCTACCTTAAGATGTTTCCTTTGTTAAGATGTATGGGTTGGCTACCTTAAGATGTTTCCTTTGTTAAGATGTATGGGTTGGCAACCTTAAGATGTTTCCTTTGTTAAGATGTATGGGTTGGCAACCTTAAGATGTTTCCTTTGTTAAGATGTATAGGTTGGCTACCTTAAAGATGTTTCCTTTGTTAAGATGTATGGGTTGGCAACCTTAAGATGTTTCCTTTGTTAAGATGTATGGGTTGGCTACCTTAAGATGTTTCCTTTGTTAAGATGTATGGGTTGGCAACCTTAAGATGTTTCCTTTGTTAAGATGTATGGGTTGGCTACCTTAAGATGTTTCCTTTGTTAAGATGTATAGGTTGGCTACCTTAAAGATGTTTCCTTTGTTAAGATGTATGGGTTGGCTACCTTAAGATGTTTCCTTTGTTAAGATGTATGGGTTGGCTACCTTAAGATGTTACCTTTGTTAAGATGTATGGGTTGGCTACCTTAAGATGTTTCCTTTGTTAAGATGTATGGGTTGGCAACCTTAAGATGTTTCCTTTGTTAAGATGTATAGGTTGGCTGCCTTAAGATTTGTTTCCTTTGTTAAGTAGTATGGGTTGGCTACCTTAAGATGTTACCTTTGTTAAGATGTATGGGTTGGCTACCTTAAGATGTTTCCTTTGTTAAGATGTATGGGTTGGCTACCTTAAGATGTTTCCTTTGTTAAGATGTATGGGTTGGCTACCTTAAGATGTTTCCTTTGTTAAGATGTATGGGTTGGCAACCTTAAGATGTTTCCTTTGTTAAGATGTATGGGTTGGCTACCTTAAGATGTTTCCTTTGTTAAGATGTATGGGTTGGCTACCTTAAGATGTTTCCTTTGTTAAGATGTATGGGTTGGCTACCTTAAGATGTTTCCTTTGTTAAGATGTATGGGTTGGCTACCTTAAGATGTTTCCTTTGTTAAGATGTATAGGTTGGCTGCCTTAAAGATGTTTCCTTCGTTAAGATGTATGGGTTGGCTACCTTAAGATGTTTCCTTTGTTAAGATGTATGGGTTGGCTACCTTAAGATGTTTCCTTTGTTAAGATATATGGGTTGGCAACCTTAAGATGTTTCCTTTGTTAAGATGTATAGGTTGGCTGCCTGAAAGATGTTTCCTTTGTTAAGATGTATGGGTTGGCTACCTTAAGATGTTTCCTTTGTTAAGATGTATGGGTTGGCTACCTTAAGATGTTTACTTTGTTAAGATGTATGGGTTGGCAACCTTAAGATGTTTCCTTTGTTAAGATGTATGGGTTGGCTACCTTAAGATGTTTCCTTTGTTAAGATGTATGGGTTGGCTACCTTAAGATGTTTCCCTGATTAAGATGTATGGGTTGGCTACCTTAAGGGGATATGCTATGTTTTTTTCTATTTTTTACACTTTAAGATCTAAAGCGTTTTGAATACTTTTATCATATTTGGCATATAAAAGTAAGTATTAAACAGCAAAAAAGAGGGTCGAAAATTATTTTGGTTGTCATGGAAACCCAAAAAACCTCCGCCATTTTGAATTTTTCGGTACTTTTAAAAATACTAAGGCTTTTTTATTTATGCACCTATAGCAATCAAATTTAAACTGCTTATATTTCAGTATATATTAAAACTTTTGTCACGACAACTTTTTGAAATAATTACTAGTAAGAATTTTACAAGGTCTAAAAAATCATACCCTTTTTAGTATTCAAAAGTTTCAAAATGTGCATATTAATTACCAAATACTTTTTTACTATGAAAGCAATCACAATTCCCTCGTGACAAAAGTTGTATTTTCGCATCAAGAACATTTACTGAAAATATGGTTTGCATTGTTCAATAAATAAAAAAGTAGTAGGCTTTTTAGTGTTAAAAACCTGCGAACTGAGAAAAACAGCCAAAAGTAACGAAAACTAGGTCAGGAAAGTACCATATCTGTGTAAACTGCAGAGCCTATTGTAAGCTTTGGGTGTTTCCGAGATGTAGGAAATTAAGTTTATTAAATACATGAGAAATCCAGATTTCCAGTGATGTCAAATACAATATAATGACGGATATAAAACTTTTTATAGAGAGCTTGTAAGATTGGGAAAAATTGATTATTTTTTAATTAATAGGGTCATAAAAATCGTAATTTAAGCACATAAAATATTTTTTTTCTCTTTAAAGTTATTATTTTCTTTATACAAAAATGGACAAAGTATCCAAAAGTGCAAGAAACCCATCTTGACGAAAAACAAGAAATTTTGTGATTTTTTTCCCGCGCATATCCCCTTAAGATGTTTCCTTTGTTAAGATGTATGGGTTGGCTACCTTAAGATGTTTACTTTGTTAAGATGTATGGGTTGGCAACCTTAAGATGTTTCCTTTGTTAAGATGTATGGGTTGGCTACCTTAAGATGTTTCCTTTGTTAAGATGTATGGGTTGGCTACCTTAAGATGTTTCCTTTGTTAAGATGTATGGGTTGGCTACCTTAAGATGTTTCCTTTGTTAAGATGTATGGGTTGGCTACCTTAAGATGTTTCCTTTGTTAAGATGTATGGGTTGGCTACCTTAAGATGTTTCCTTTGTTAAGATGTATGGGCTATTGTTTCCTTGTCTCAGGTGACCGTGAAAGGTGCTGACAATGCTCACAGCCCACAAGAAGGCTGGTGCACATTCCGTGTGGTGGTACACGACATCAATGATAATCCTCCTGTCTTCAATTCTCTTTCCTACACCGAAAAAATCTCATCCAATGTCCAGGTCAACAGGGTAAGTTAAGCTCAGGTCAGCTGGGTAGGTTTAGCTCAGGTCAGCTGGGTAGGTTTAGCTCTGGTCAGCTGGGTAGGTTTAGCTCAGGTCAGCTGGGTAGGTTTAGCTCAGGTCAGCTGGGTAAGTTAAGCTCAGGTCAACAGGGTAGCTTTAGCTCAGGTCAGCTAGGTAGGTTTAGCTCAGGTCAGCTGGGTTGGTTTAGCTCAGGTCAGCTGGGTAGGTTTAGCTCAGGTCAGCTGAGTAGGTTTAGCTCAGGTCAGCTGGGTAGGTTTAGCTCAGGTCAGCTGGGTAGCTTTAGCTCAGGTCAGCTGGGTAGGTTTAGCTCAGGTCAGCTGGGTAGGTTTAGCTCAGGTCAACTGTGTAGGTTTAGCTCAGGTCAACAGGGTAGGTTAAGCTCAGGTCAACAGGGTAAGTTAAGCTCAGGTCAGCTGGGTAGGTTAAGCTTATGAGCACTATTTGGTTAGGTTTTACCCCACCCACCAACCCTGTGAAGTCTTACCTCTTCTTTTAAAAACCTTTTAAAATAATTAATTTGTGAATAGGTGAATTCAAATCCATATTAACTAAATTATACCTTAGTTAATAGAAGTACAGACTTTTAATTGAATTCACAAATTATGCAGAACAACATAGAAAAAATCTAATCATCATAGGGTAATTAATTACCTAAGCAATATTCTGGTCCAATTCAGTAGAATGTCTCTGAGTCTTTAAGGCAAGGTCAGCTTATCAGTAAACCACCTGATTTAGCATAACCTCAAACAGTCCTGAAGCGCTAATTTCAAAATACTTAAGCTGTTCTAATAAACAGTTAATGTTGTATTTAGGTAATTTTGCGAGTAGGAGCAACAGATAAAGATATTGGAGACAATGCCAAACTGACCTATTCCCTGCAAGAGGATGGAGGTGTTTTTGATATCTACCCAAACACTGGCATGATCTACTTGAAGAACAAGCTTAAGGATGCAACTAATAAGAATGATGTAAATCAAGTTTCAGTGTTTTCAATGTTAATGAGCCTGATTAGTTTGTGATGTCAATTAGCTTGATTATTTAAGTATGCAATATATTGTTAATAGAGAATCCCATCTAATCCAGGCAACGACTTACAAGTTGGTTGCCATGGCAAAAGATGCAGGTACACCGCCTAAGTCTGCCACTGTCCAGGTGACCATTGAAGTGGCTGCAGAAACTAGCGAACCCCCCAAGTAAGTTGACATTTGAGGGCTGGGGGTCTAGCAATTTGAGGGGTGGGGGTCTAGCATGACAGTCATTCAGTTGTGATGTCCCAAGTAAGTTGACATTTGAGGGGTCGGGGTCTAGCATGACAGTCATTAAGTTGTGATGTCCCAAGTAAGTTGACATTTGAGGGGTGGGGGTCTAGCATGACAGTCATTAAGTTGTGATGTCCCAAGTAAGATGACATTTGAGAGGTGGGGTCTAACAGAACAATGAGCACACAGAAACATGTAGACTTGAAATATGCACAGCTAGGAAAATTAACCTTGGTTTCCCAAGTTTAAAAAAAAAAATTCATTTTGCAAGTCATGGAGTTAATTTATTGAGGGCAGTCTCACTAGTGGAGTCATACAGTTAATTTATTGAGGGCAATCTCACTAGTGGAGTCATGCAGTTAATTTATTGAGGGCAGTCTCACTAGTGGAGTCATGCAGTTAATTTATTGATGGCAGTCTCACCAGTAGAGTCATGCAGTTAATTTATTGAGGGCAGTCTCACCAGTGGAGTCATACAGTTAATTTATTGAGGGCAGTCTCATCAGTGGAGTCATTTTTCTAATATACTCAAAACTTGAAGTTTAGACATTGTCTTTGACCCAAAATGACTAGAGATTCACTAGTTTAGATTTCAAATGTGTGGAGTAAAAAATGTATAGACAATCCAAACGTGTGGATGTAGTATATAGACATTTGTTGAATGAAATATTTGAATTGCAGGCATACACAAAATTTATTGTTTAATACATTGACAAATTTGTTTCAGATTTGACCCTAATCCACTTAACCCTGACCATTACTATAAAATCTCTGAGACCATCAGTCCCAACACCCCAGAAGCCATGATCACAACTCTAAGCTGCCAGTCCAATGTTGAGAACCCTCGGGTCCAGTTCTTCCTGGTGGATGAGAAGGACAGGCTCCACTCACAGTACTGTGGACACTTTGGTATCACAGAGTTCTATGAGAAGGGAAAGTACAAAGTCAATGTTTTTGTTGCAGCACCACTCAATCATGAGACAATACAACAGTACAGCCTCATTCTGCGCTGTCAGGTTAGCATGCTGTCAGTGTCTGTCTTAGTCTCTTTCTATGCTGTCAGGTTAGCATGCTGTCAGTGTGTCTTTAGTATGGCAGTGTGTAAATGGTCTGGTTCTCTCAACTTTTCCTGAATTGACAAACTTGGTTTTCCCATAGAATTTTGGTGGCCTGACAATGTATGAGCAGATTTCCTGAATTGACAAACTTGGTTTTCCCATAGAATTTTGGTGGCCTGACCATGTATGAGCAGATTTCCTGAATTGACAAACTTTGTTTTCCCATAGAATTTTGGTGGCCTGACCATGTATGAGCAGATCACATTGACCATTGATGTAGAAGACAAGAACAACAAGGTCCCGTACTTTGAAGGCATGGACATGAACGGACGCTATTCTGGGACAGTCCCTGAGAACACAGAGCCAGGGGCCACTATCAGAATAGTCCAAGGCTATGATGATGATAAAACTCCAGCTTTCAGTAATGTACGTCCATCACTACTTTCCTTGTTAGATCAATCTTTAAATTCAGATGCTCATTTTTTAAAAACCTTTTCAAAAAATACTGTTTCATCTTCCATATTTTTACTAAAAATATATTTGGATCTCTTAGATATTAACTTTTTCATGGATCAAAATAGATATGTGAGTTTGTTGTCAAATCTTGTAACCCAATTAGACCTGTGATTAAGTGATTTCTTTCAAATTTTGCAAGGTGTAGAATGTAAGTAATATATATAAGAATATCTTGCATTTGGTTAAGTGGTAGTGATGAGTCTGGTGAGAGGGGAATCTCAGTTGGATGCTACCGTCAGATGACACTACTTGACATTTGTTTCCTGCTTCATGTCATTTTCTCATATTGGAGGGAATTTCCTCCAACAGAATAAAGTACATGATGTACAGTTACCAGCCAGTATCTTGACCAGTGGTTGACTGGCTACACATGATGTACAGTTAACAGCCAGTATCTTGGCCAGTGGCTGGTTGACTGGCTAAACATGATGTACAGTTACCAGCCAGTATCTTGACCAGTGGCTGACATGATGTACAGTTACCAGCCAGTATCTTGACCAGTGGTTGACTGGCTACACATGATGTACAGTTAACAGCCAGTATCTTGGCCAGTGGCTGGTTGACTGGCTAAACATGATGTACAGTTACCAGCCAGTATCTTGACCAGTGGCTGACATGATGTACAGTTACCAGCCAGTATCTTGACCAGTGGCTGACTGGCTACACATGATGTACAGTTACCAGCCAGTATCTTGACCAGTGGCTGGTTGACTGGCTACACATGATGTACAGTTAACAGCCAGTATCTTGACCAGTGGCTGACTGGCTACACATGATGTACAGTTAACAGCCAGTATCTTGACCAGTGGCTGACATGATGTACAGTTACCAGCCAGTATCTTGACCAGTGGCTGGTTGACTGGCTACACATGATGTACAGTTAACAGCCCGTATCTTGACCAGTGGCTGGTTGACTGGCTACACATGATGTACAGTTACCAGCCAGTATCTTGACCAGTGGCTGACATGATGTACAGTTACCAGCCAGTATCTTGACCAGTGGCTGGTTGACTGGCTACACATGATGTACAGTTAACAGCCAGTATCTTGACCAGTGGCTGACATGATGTACAGTTACCAGCCAGTATCTTGACCAGTGGCTGGTTGACTGGCTACACATGATGTACAGTTACCAGCCAGTATCTTGACCAGTGGCTGACATGATGTACAGTTACCAGCCAGTATCTTGACCAGTGGCTGGTTGACTGGCTACACATGATGTACAGTTACCAGCCAGTATCTTGACCAGTGGCTGACATGATGTACAATTACCAGCCAGTATCTTGACCAGTGGCTGACTGGCTACACATGATGTACAGTTAACAGCCAGTATCTTGACCAGTGGCTGACATGATGTACAGTTACCAGCCAGTATCTTGACCAGTGGCTGGTTGACTGGCTACACATGATGTACAGTTAACAGCCCGTATCTTGACCAGTGGCTGGTTGACTGGCTACACATGATGTACAGTTACCAGCCAGTATCTTGACCAGTGGCTGACATGATGTACAGTTACCAGCCAGTATCTTGACCAGTGGCTGGTTGACTGGCTACACATGATGTACAGTTAACAGCCAGTATCTTGACCAGTGGCTGACATGATGTACAGTTACCAGCCAGTATCTTGACCAGTGGCTGGTTGACTGGCTACACATGATGTACAGTTACCAGCCAGTATCTTGACCAGTGGCTGACATGATGTACAGTTACCAGCCAGTATCTTGACCAGTGGCTGACTGGCTACACATGATGTACAGTTACCAGCCAGTATCTTGACCAGTGGCTGACTGGCTACACATGATGTACAGTTACCAGCCAGTATCTTGACCAGTGGCTGGTTGACTGGCTACACATGATGTACAGTTACCAGCCAGTATCTTCTCTTTTTCCAGTTGTTCTTTGAGCTGTCAGATGACAGCTACCCAGGTGTCCTTGATGACTTTGAGATAAGAAATCTGCCGGACAACAAGGCCGCTCTGATCACCAAACGAGAGTTTGACAGAGAAAAAACCCCTCGCTTCTTCCTCACCATCAAGGTGAATGACATGAGCCCTTCAGACAGGCCAAACCATAGGCCGCCTGGCACACCTAACTCAGGTAGCTCTATGTCTGTCTGGCATGCTACTGTCTGTCTGTCGTGCTGTATCCTGTCTGTCATGCTGTATCCTGTCTGTCATGTTGTATCCTGTCTGTCTGTCATGCTGTATCCTGTCTGTCTGTCATGCTGTATCTTGTCTGTCTGTCATGCTGTATCTTGTCTGTCTGTCATGCTGTATCTGGTCTGTCTGTCATGCTGTATCCTGTCTGTCATGCTGTATCCTGTCTGTCATGCTGTATCCTGTCTGTCATGCTGTATCCTGTATGTCATGCTGTATCCTGTCTGTCTGTCATGCTGTATCTTGTCTGTCTGTCATGCTGTATCTTGTCTGTCATGCTGTATCTTGTCTGTCTGTCTGTCATGCTGTATCATGTCTGTCATGCTGTATCTGGTCTGTCATGCTGTATCCTGTCTGTCATGCTGTATCCTGTCTGTCATGTTGTATCCTGTCTGTCTGTCATGCTGTATCCTGTCTGTCTGTCATGCTGTATCCTGTCTGTCTGTCTGTCATGCTGTATCCTGTCTGTCTGTCTGTCATGCTGTATCCTGTCTGTCTGTCTGTCATGCTATATCCTGTCTGTCTGTCATGCTGTATCTTGTCTGTCTGTCATGTTGTATCCTGTCTGTCTGTCATGCTGTATCTTGTCTGTCTGTCATGTTGTATCCTGTCTGTCTGTCATGTTGTGTCCTGTCTGTCTGTCTGTCATGCTGTATCCTGTCTGTCTGTCTGTCATGCTATATCCTGTCTGTCTGTCATGCTGTATCTTGTCTGTCTGTCATGTTGTATCCTGTCTGTCTGTCATGTTGTGTCCTGTCTGTTTGTCATGCTGTATCTGGTCTGTCTGTCATGCTGTATCTTGTCTGTATGTGTGTCATGCTGTATCCTGTCTGTCATGCTGTATCTTGTCTGTCTGTCATGCTGTATCTTGTCTGTCTGTCATGCTGTATCAGGTCTGTCTGTCATGCTGTATCTTGTCTGTCATGCTGTATCTTGTCTTGTCATGCTGTATCTTGTCTGTCTGTCATGCTGTATCTTGTCTGTCTGTCATGCTGTATCAGGTCTGTCTGTCATGCTGTATCTGGTCTGTCATGCTGTATCTTGTCTGTCATGCTGTATTTTGTCTTGTCATGCTGTATCTGGTCTGTCATGCTGTATCTTGTCTGTCTGTCATGCTATATCCTGTCTGTCTGTCATGTTCCAGCCTCTGTCGTGTTTCAAGTGGATATAGCAGATAAAAATGACAACCCAATGACGTTTAAACAGAGCCTGTACAACTTCTCAGTCCCTGAGACTGCCAGTATAGGCACTGTCATCTTTGCTGTCACTGCCGATGACATTGATGAAGGTAAGTCTCATGTACAAGTGTGCCAACCATTTGGTGAATTCTTGACATATTAAATAAACTGCATTTTCAATTCTAATTTGCATAATGCCAAAAATGTTTTTGTAGTTGAAGATGTAGGTCTTCTTTTTGTGCTTGTAAAAAGTTTTTAATGAATAGTTTAGTCTGCTATGACTGAGTGTTGTAATAGTTTTATTTTTCTTGCAGTTGACCAGGGGAGACTCAAGTACAGTTTCCAGAATAACACACTGAGCCACTTTGATATCAGAGACCAGACTGGTGAAATACTGGTCAATGGCTTTCTGGACTACGAGAGTGGAAACAAAGTAAGTCAGCATTCATACTAGAATCAAGCTTTGATAAAACATCTTAAAATCAAGATTTCAGCAAACTTTGTTCATAGGATCAAGCTTTGATCAAACTTCTAGAATCAAGATTTGATCAAACTTTCATCAGAAAACATGATATAACAAGCTCTTTATACATTTTTTCCTTGATCATTTCTAAAACATCCTGTTGTACGTAAAGCTGCCTTCAAGCTGTGACTTAACTCATAAACCAATGTTTTTACTTAAGTACAAAGTGGCTTTTCCTTGGTGTACACAATGACATTAGTACTCATGTTTACTTTTCTTAGGTTACACAATATTTGTACACATGTTTACTATTCCTAGGTGTACACAATGACATTAGAGTCGAGTGACAGTGAGAACTTCTACTCAGCTTCCACCACTGTTGTCATCTATGTCACTGATGAGAATGACAACCCCCCAGTATTTGGGCAGCCTGAATATGTCATAGCTGATAAAGTAGTTGAAGAAGATTTTAGCATCTCAAAAACTCAGCCCATGCACCTTATCACAGTAAGTTATAGCCATTCAAAAAATCTAAGCACTTTATCACATAAAATTATAGCCATTCAAAAAATCGAAGCACTTTATCACATAACATTATAGCCATTCAAAAAGTCTAAGCACTTTATCACGTAATGTTATAGCCATTCATATTCTTATTTTTTCTTTAAACTCATAAAAACTGATTTAAGTATAAATATCTAAATCACTGTCATGTTGGCTCTTGAAATATTTTTTCCTTAAAAATTTTTTTTAGTATAAGTAACATGGCTGATGTCATCAGTTTGCTACATTTTGTGGGCTGATGTCATCAGTTTGCTACATTTTGTGGGCTGATGTCATCAGTTTCCTAATTTTTGTGATCACATAAAATTAGTCTTGTTTACCTTGTATTAAAAAAAGGTTTTGAAATATTTTTGTGTTTGGTAGATGATCCAGTGTACATAAATTGTTTCAACTGGTCTAGTTATCATGACCATGTTTCAACTGGTCTAGCTGGGAGCCGGACGTTTTCCCGAAAGACACTTGCCCGAATGCCGTTTGCCCGAAGGCCGATTTCCCGAATGGACACTTGCCCGAATGCGACAAATACCCGAATGGACACTTGCCCGAATGCGACAAACGCCCGAATGGACACTTGCCCAAATGCGACAAATGCCCGAATGGACACTTGCCCGAATGCGACAAATTCCCGAATGGACACTTGCCCGAATGCGACAAATGCCCGAATGGACACTTGCCCGAATGCGACAAATGTCCGAATGGCCATTTGCCCGAAGGCCATTTGCCCGAAAAATGTTATTATTAAAAATAAATAATATTACCAAAATAGACATTCTTAATCAATAGAAGTTTGAAATTTTGATCATAAACACAATTCTAAGCATAAAAACAAAGTTGTTTTTCTATTTTTAAAGTTTAGCTTTTATTTTAACTGAGATATTGCGAAAAAAATCGTTAGTCTCTATTAAATGCAATATGATGATCGCGCATTTTGACTTTATATTCTTTTGATGTAAGTTTTGAACACCTTGTTTAGCCGACGTGTTGCGGTGGTTATATAGCGCTTATGACATGGTGTAGGCGGCGCGGCGTCTCGCAACATTGAACAGATGCGCGTTTGTTTGATTTATTTTGTTATGCTTAACTTGTATGGTAACTATTTCACAACAGAACTAGGCGCGTCAAGGCAGCGAATTTAAAAACTAAAAGTAGTCACATATGTTTGATCTTCATTTTATACACCTTGTTTAGACAATGTGTTGAAGCGATTACTTAATAAAGAAAGCAAAATTCTTTTTTAAAATCTTGAAATAAATGAAAATGGTGTTTTTGTCTTATTTCATGTTTCCACACTTTATATAGCAAATACAAATTAATTAAGAATGTAATATATAATATTATTATTTTTTTTGCACAAATATGTTTTGTTTATCAACATTTCAAATTTAAATTGATTACAAATGATTATTTGGTAATATATAAATGCTAACATTTTTCGGGCAAACGGCCTTCGGGCAAGTGTCCATTCGGGCATTTGTCGCATTCGGGCATTTGTCGCATTCGGGCAAGTGTCCATTCGGGCGTTTGTCGCATTCGGGCAAGTGTCCATTCGGGCATTTGTCGCATTTGGGCAAGTGTCCATTCGGGCATTTGTCGCATTCGGGCAAGTGTCCATTCGGGAAATCGGCCTTCGGGCAATCGGCATTCGGGCAAGTGTCTTTCGGGAATTTGTCGTAGACCCGGTCTAGCTATGTTGTCCATGTTTCAACTGGTCTAATTATGTTGTCCATGTTTCAACTGGTCTAGCTATGTTGTCTATGTTTTAACTGGTCTAATTATGTTGTCCATGTTTCAACTGGTCTAGCTATGATGTGTTTCAACTGGTCTAGCTATGTTGTCTATGTTTTAACTGATCTAATTATGTTGTCCATGTTTCAACTGGTCTAGCTATGTTGTCTATGTTTTAACTGGTCTAATTATGTTGTCCATGTTTCAACTGGTCTAGCTGTGTTGTCCATGTTTCAACTGGTCTAGCTGTGTTGTCCATGTTTCAACTGGTCTAGCTATGTTGTCCATGTTTCAACTGGTCTAATTATGTTGTCTGTGTTTCAATTTGTCTAATTATGTTGTCCATGTTTCAACTGGTCTAGCTATGTTGTCCATGTTTCAACTGGTCTAGCTATGTTTTTCATGTTTCAACTGGTCTAGCTGTGTTGTCCATGTTTCAACTGGTCTAATTATGTTGTTCATGTTTCAACTGGTCTAGCTATGTTGTCTGTGTTTCAATTGGTCTAATTATATTGTCCATGTTTCAACTGGTCTAATTATGTTGTCCATGTTTCAACTGGTCTAATTATGTTGTCCATGTTTCAACTGGTCTAATTATGTTGTTCATGTTTCAACTGGTCTAGCTATGTTGTCTGTGTTTCAACTGGTCTAATTATGTTGTTCATGTTTCAACTGGTCTAGCTATGTTGTCTGTGTTTCAATTGGTCTAATTATGTTGTCCATGTTTCAACTGGTCTAATTATGTTGTCCATGTTTCAACTGGTCTAATTATGTTGTCTGTGTTTCAACTGGTCTAGCTATGTTGTCCATGTTTCAACTGGTCTAATTATGTTGTCTGTGTTTCAACTGGTCTAATTATGTTGTCTGTGTTTCAACTGATCTAATTATGTTGTTCATGTTTCAACTGGTCTAATTATGTTGTCTGTGTTTCAATTGGTCTAATTATATTGTCCATGTTTCAACTGGTCTAATTATGTTGTCTGTGTTTCAACTGGTCTAATTATGTTGTCTGTGTTTCAATTGGTCTAATTATGTTGTCCATGTTTCAACTGGTCTAATTATGTTGTCCATGTTTCAACTGGTCTAGCTATGTTGTCCATGTTTCAACTGGTCTAGCTATGTTGTCCATGTTTCAACTGGTCTAATTATGTTGTCTGTGTTTCAATTGGTCTAATTATATTGTCCATGTTTCAACTGGTCTAATTATGTTGTCTGTGTTTCAACTGGTCTAATTATGTTGTCTGTGTTTCAATTGGTCTAATTATGTTGTCCATGTTTCAACTGGTCTAATTATGTTGTCCATGTTTCAACTGGTCTAATTATGTTGTCTGTGTTTCAACTGGTCTAGCTGTGTTGTCCATGTTTCAACTGGTCTAATTATGTTGTTCATGTTTCAACTGGTCTAGCTATGTTGTCTGTGTTTCAATTGGTCTAATTATGTTGTTCATGTTTCAACTGGTCTAGCTATGTTGTCTGTGTTTCAATTGGTCTAATTATGTTGTCCATGTTTCAACTGGTCTAGCTATGTTGTCCATGTTTCAACTGGTCTAATTATGTTGTTCATGTTTCAACTGGTCTAGCTATGTTGTCTGTGTTTCAACTGGTCTAATTATGTTGTTCATGTTTCAACTGGTCTAGCTATGTTGTCTGTGTTTCAATTGGTCTAATTATGTTGTTCATGTTTCAACTGGTCTAGCTATGTTGTCTGTGTTTCAATTGGTCTAATTATGTTGTTCATGTTTCAACTGGTCTAGCTATGTTGTCTGTGTTTCAATTGGTCTAATTATGTTGTTCATGTTTCAACTGGTCTAGCTATGTTGTCCATGTTTCAACTGGTCTAATTATGTTGTTCATGTTTCAACTGGTCTAGCTATGTTGTCTGTGTTTCAACTGATCTAATTATGTTGTTCATGTTTCAACTGGTCTAGCTATGTTGTCTGTGTTTCAATTGGTCTAATTATGTTGTCCATGTTTCAACTGGTCTAATTATGTTGTCTGTGTTTCAACTGGTCTAATTATGTTGTCCATGTTTCAACTGGTCTAATTATGTTGTCTGTGTTTCAACTGGTCTAATTATGTTGTCTGTGTTTTAACTGATCTAATTATGTTGTCTGTGTTTCAACTGATCTAATTATGTTGTCTGTGTTTGAACTGGTCTAATTATGTTGTCCATGTTTCAACTGGTCTAGCTATGTTGTCCATGTTTCAACTGGTCTAATTATGTTGTCTGTGTTTCAATTGGTCTAATTATGTTGTCCATGTTTCAACTGGTCTAATTATGTTGTCCATGTTTCAACTGGTCTAATTATGTTGTCCATGTTTCAACTGGTCTAGCTATGTTGTCCATGTTTCAACTGGTCTAATTATGTTGTCTGTGTTTCAACTGGTCTAATTATGTTGTCTGTGTTTCAACTGGTCTAATTATGTTGTCCATGTTTCAACTGGTCTAATTATGTTGTCTGTGTTTCAACTGGTCTAATTATGTTGTCTGTGTTTCAACTGGTCTAATTATGTTGTCCATATTTCAACTGGTCTAATTATGTTGTCCATGTTTCAACTGGTCTAGCTATGTTGTCCATGTTTCAACTGGTCTAATTATGTTGTTCATGTTTCAACTGGTCTAATTATGTTGTCTGTGTTTCAACTGGTCTAATTATGTTGTCTGTGTTTCAGGTTACAGCCACAGATGCAGACACATCACGTAACAACAAGATGCGCTACTTTCTTCGTGGTAAGGGCACACAGGCAGATGACCGTCAGCTGTTCACCATTGACCAAGACACGGGGGATGTATACTTGATAGCTGCCCTGGACAGGGATGAGCCCAATGGAAAGTCTGAGTACATCTTCACTGTGGAGGCCAGAGATGAGGAGGAGCACTTCCAGAGTGGCTACACCAACATCAAGGTCAAGCCTCTAGACATCAATGACAACACACCCATCTTTGATGCCAACCGCTTAACCGGGGAGGTCTTTGAACATTCTGAACCAGGTGCATTTTTACTTTCCATAATTTTTACTTGTCTGGCTCAGATAATTTTTACTTGACTGGCTCAGATAATTTTTACTTGTCTGGCTCAGATAATTTTTACTTATTCGGCTCAGATAATTTTTACTTGTCTGGCTTGTCTGGCTCAGATAATTTTTACTTGTCTGGCTCAGATAATTTTTACTTATTTGGCTCAGATAATTTTTACTTGTCTGGCTTGTCTGGCTCAGATAATTTTTACCTGTCTGGCTTGTCTGGCTCAGATAATTTTTACTTGTCTGGCTCAGATAATTTTTACTTGTCTGGCTTGTCTGGCTCAGATAATTTTTACTTGTCTGGCTCAGATAATTTTTACTTGTCTGGCTTGTCTGGCTCAGATAATTTTTACTTATTTGGCTCAGATAATTTTTACTTGTCTGGCTTGTCTGGCTCAGATAATTTTTACTTGTCTGGCTCAGATAATTTTTACTTGTCTGGCTCAGATAATTTTTACTTGTCTGGCTCAGATAATTTTTACTTGTTTGGCTCAGATAATTTTTACTTGTCTGGCTCAGATAATTTTTACTTGTCTGGCTTGTCTGGCTCAGATAATTTTTACTTGTTTGGCTCAGATAATTTTTACTTGTCTGGCTCAGATAATTTTTACTTGTCTGGCTCATATAATTTTTACTTATTTGGCTCAGATAATTTTTACTTGTCTGGCTCAGATAATTTTTACTTGTCTGGCTTGTCTGGCTCAGATAATTTTTACTTGTCTGGCTCAGATAATTTTTACTTGTCTGGCTTAGATAATTTTTACCTGTCTGGTTTGTCTGGCTCAGATAATTTTTACTTGTCTGGCTCAGATAATTTTTACTTGTCTGGCTTGTCTGGCTCAGATAATTTTTACTTGTCTGGCTCAGATAATTTTTACTTGTCTGGCTCAGATAATTTTTACTTATTTGGCTCAGATAATTTTTACTTGTCTGGCTCAGATAATTTTTGCTTATTTGACTCAGATAATTTTTACCTGCCTGGCTCTGATAATTTTTACTTGTCTGGCTTGTCTGGCTCAGATAATTTTTACTTATTTGGCTCAGATAATTTTTACTTGTCTGGCTCAGATAATTTTTACTTATTTGACTCAGATAATTTTTACCTGCCTGGCTCAGATAATTTTTACTTGTCTGGCTTGTCTGGCTCAGATAATTTTTACTTATTTGGCTCAGATAATTTTTACCTGCCTGGCTCAGATAATTTTTACTTGTTTGGCTCAGATAATTTTTACTTGTCTGGCTCAGATAATTTTTACCTGTCTGGCTCAGATAATTTTTACCTGTCTGGCTCAGATAATTTTTACTTGTCTGGCTCAGATAATTTTTACTTGTCTGGCTCAGATAATTTTTACTTGTCTGGCTCAGATAATTTTTACTTGTCTGGCTCAGATAATTTTTACTTGTTTGGCTCAGATAATTTTTACTTGTCTGGCTTGTCTGGCTCAGATAATTATAATTTTTACTTGTTTGGCTCAGATAATTTTTACTTGTCTGGCTCAGATAATTTTTATTAGTCTGACTCAGATAACTTTTATGTATCCGGCCCAGATACTTATATTTTTGAACGTATTTCAGGTTGGTTCAACAAAGATGAGAACCCACCAATAGCTGTGGTGATAACAACTGACTTTGACTACGGCATCAACAGTTCAGTGGACTATGAGATTGTGAGCAGTCCCACAGTGTCCAATAGTTTGACAACCTCCAACACTAACTTCTTCAACATTGACAAGGATGGCAGAATTTTCTCACAGGTCTCCTGCTTTCATGCTTTCTCACTTTAGCTACAGTAAAATGACTTATGTGTCATGTAAAGCCCAGTATTAAGAAACCCTGAGAATGAAATGACTTGTGTAGCCCAGTATTAAGAAACCCTGACAATAAAATGACTTGTTTAGCCCAGTATTAAGAAACCCTGAGAATGAAATGACTTGTGTAGCCCAGTATTAAGAAACCCTGAGAATGAAATGACTTCTTTAGCCCAGTATTAAGAAACCCTGACAATAAAATGACTTGTTTAGCCCAGTATTAAGAAACCCTGAGAATGAAATGACTTGTGTAGCCCAGTATTAAGAAACCCTGAGAATGAAATGACTTCTTTAGCCCAGTATTAAGAAACCCTGACAATAAAATGACTTGTTTAGCCCAGTATTAAGAAACCCTGAGAATGAAATGACTTGTGTAGCCCAGTATTAAGAAACCCTGAGAATGAAATGACTTGTGTAGCCCAGTATTAAGAAACCCTGACAATAAAATGACTTGTTTAGCCCAGTATTAAGAAACCCTGAGAATGAAATGACTTGTGTAGCCCAGTATTAAGAAACCCTGACAATAAAATGACTTGTTTAGCCCAGTATTAAGAAACCCTGAGAATGAAATGACTTGTTTAGCCCAGTATTAAGAAACCCTGAGAATGAAATGACTTGTGTAGCCCAGTATTAAGAAACCCTGAGAATGAAATGACTTCTTTAGCCCAGTATTAAGAAACCCTGAGAATAAAATGACTTGTTTAGCCCAGTATTAAGAAACCCTGAGAATGAAATGACTTGTGTAGCCCAGTATTAAGAAACCCTGAGAATGAAATGACTTGTATGTCTCAGGTTGAAGCCCAATACTTGGACAGAGAAACCCGACCCAAGCTGGAAGTGGTTGTGCGAGCCAAGGATGGTGGTCCAGAGGCTCAAACCTCTACAGCCACAGTGACCATTATACTGAAAGATATCAATGACAACCCTCCTATCTTCACCCAGAAGGTTTACAAGTAAGTGTAGCATATAGTTCACCTACACCTAAACTTAAGTTTGCAAGGGCTAGACTTAAACTTTAGTTTGGTACAGCTAGACATAAACTTTTGTGTTGACACACCTAGACAGACATAAACTTTTTTGTTGACACACCTAGACAGACATAAACTTTTGTGTTGACACACCTAGACAGACATAAACTTTTGTTGTCACACCTAGACAGATGTAAACTTTTGTTGTCACACCTAGACAGACATAAACTTTTGTTTACCTAGTGTCACCATGTCTGAGCACTACAAGAAAGGTATTGTGACAGAGGTTCATGCCACAGACAAAGATGAGAATGACAATGCTGAGCTCCAGTTCTCTATGTCTAATTTGGCTGGGGGACATTTTAAAGTGGACACCATTGAAAACAAGGGAGCTATTTCAATTTATGAGGTCAGCAATCATTTCTTTTTTAGTCTATTATCTAACCTAACAACTTGTTTCCTCTAACCTTGCCTGTTGTTTTCTTTAACCGTATCTGTTTCCTCTAACTGTATCTGTTTCCTCTAACCTAGCCTGTTGTTTCCTCTAACCTAACCTGTTTCCTCTAACCTAACCTGTTTCCTCTAACCTAACCTGTTTCCTCTAACCTAACCTGTTTCCTCTAACCTAACCTGTTTCCTCTAACCTAACCTGTTTCCTCTAACCTAACCTGTTTCCTCTAACCTAACCTGTTTCCTCTAACCTAACCTGTTTCCTCTAACCTAACCTGTTTCCTCTAACCTAACCTGTTTCCTCTAACCTAACCTGTTTTTTCCTCTAACCTAGCCTGTTGTTTCCTCTTACCTATCCTGTTTCCTCTAACCTATCCTGTTGTTTCCTCTAACCTATCCTGTTTCCTCTAACCTAGCCTGTTGTTTCCTCTAACCTAACCTGTTTCCTCTAACCTAACCTGTTTTTTCCTCTAACCTAGCCTGTTGTTTCCTCCAACCTAGCCTGTTGTTTCCTCTAACCTATCCTGTTGTTTCCTCTAACCTAGCCTGTTGTTTCCACTTACCTAGCCTGTTGTTTCCTCTAACCTAGCCTGTTGTTTCCTCTAACCTAGCCTGTTGTTTCCTCTAACCTAGCCTGTTGTTTCCTCTAACCTAGCCTGTTGTTTCCTCTAACCTAGCCTGTTGTTTCCTCTAACCTAGCCTGTTGTTTCCTTTAATCTAGCCTGTTGTTTCCTCTAACCTATCCTGTTTCCTCTAACCTCTCATGTTTCCTCTAATCTAGCCTGTTGTTTCCTCTTACCTAGCCTGTTGTATCTCTAATCTAACCTGTTTCCTCTAACCCAACCTGTTTCTCTTACCTAGCCTGTTGTTTCCTCTAACCTATCCTGTTATTTCCTCTAACCTTACCTGTTTCCTCTAATCTAGCCTGTTGTTTCCTCTTACCTAGCCTGTTGTTTCCTCTAACCTAACCTGTTGTTTCCTCTAACCTAGCCTGTTGTTTCCTCTTAACCTTACCTGTTGTTTCCGCTAACCTAGCCTGTTTCCTCTAATCTAGCCTGTTTCTCTTACCTAACCTGTTGTTTCCTCTAGCCTGTTGTTTCCTCTAACCTAGCCTGTTGTTTCCTCTAACCTAGCCTGTTGTTTCCTCTAACCTAACCTGTTGTTTTCTTTAACTGTATCTGTTTCCTCTAACTGTATCTGTTTCCTCTAACCTAGCCTGTTGTTTCCTCTAACCTGTTTCCTCTAACCTAACCTGTTTCTCTAACCTAGCCTGTTGTTTCCTCTAACCTGTTTCCTCTAACCTAACCTGTTGTTTCCTCTAACCTAGCCTGTTGTTTCCTCTAACCTAACCTGTTGTTTCCTCTAACCTGTTTCCTCTAACCTAACCTGTTGTTTCCTCTAACCTAACCTGTTGTTTCCTCTAACCTGTTTCCTCTAACCTAACCTGTTTCCTCTAACCTAACCTGTTGTTTCCTCTAACCTAACTTGTTTCCCTTACCTAGCCTGTTGTTTCCTCTAACCTAGCCTGTTGTTTCCTCTAACCTAACCTGTTTCCCTTACCTAGCCTGTTGTTTCCTCTAACCTAGCCTGTTGTTTCCTCTAACCTAGCCTGTTGTTTCCTCTAACCTAACTTGTTTCCCTTACCTAGCCTGTTGTTTCCTCTAACCTAGCCTGTTGTTTCCTCTAACCTAACCTGTTTCCCTTACCTAGCCTGTTGACTATGAAAGCCTGCTGAACCCAGTGTTTGAGCTGGAGATTGTGGTACAAGACAAGAACCCAGCACACAGAGACACGGCTGTTGTCAGGATCACTGTAGAAGATTTCAATGACAATGCACCAATGTTTGTAAATGCATTTATGTCCAGGTATTATTGTTTTTAATCCATTTATTTTCTTGTTGTATCCAGGTATTTTATGTATCTGGGGTCATTCATTCTCTATGTCCACACAAAGGGAAAGGGGTGGTCCAAAAATGTACTTTTGTGGAGGTTCAAGTCCCTTAAAATGTCTTACCATGATACCCAGCCCCCACCTGTTTCAAGGGGGGGGGGTGTCTAAAAAGTGGATCAGTGTGTGAACGTCATTCATGGATGAGCCATTGAGTGTGTTTTGAGATGATTGCCTAAAATAAAATAAAAAATTTCACAGACAAATAGAAGAGAACTCTGAGCCAGGTGAAATAGTGGCCCAGTTTGAGGCACATGATCAAGATTCAGGAATTAATGCAGAGTTCAGGTTAGTTGTTTGCTTCTCTCATAAATTAACACTTTCAATCTCCTCCCCATGTCACATTGCTATCTTCACATGTCTTGTGATTGTTAACCCCATGTGTACTGATTGTCTCCCATGTCTTCTGATTGTTGATCCATATGTACTGATTGTCTCCCATGTCTTTTGATTGTTTCCACATGTCACATTTCTGTTTCTCCCTGTCTGTGTCCTTCAGTGTCACATGATCATCTCCCCATGTCTACTGATTGTCCATCTTTTTCTATTGTCTCCCCCTGTCTTCTGATTGTTTCCCATGTGTTCTGATTGTCACCCATGTGTACTGATGGTCACACATGTGTACTGATTGTCTCCCATGTGTTCTGATTGTCTCCCCCTGTCTTCTGATTGTCTCCCCCTGTCTTCTGATTGTCTCCCCCTGTCTTCTGATTGTCTCCCCCTGTCTTCTGTCTCCCCCTGTCTTCTGATTGTCTCCCCCTGTCTTCTGATTGTCTCCCATGTCTTCTGATTGTCTCCCATGTCTTCTGATTGTCTCCCCCTGTCTTCTGATTGTCTCCCCCTGTCTTCTGATTGTCTCCCATGTCTTCTGATTGTCTCCCATGTCTTCTGATTGTCTCCCATGTCTTCTGATTGTCTCCCATGTCTTCTGATTGTCTCCCATGTCTTCTGATTGTCTCCCCCTGTCTTCTGATTGTCTCCCCCTGTCTTCTGATTGTCTCCCCCTGTCTTCTGATTGTCTCCCCCTGTCTTCTGATTGTCTCCCCCTGTCTTCTGATTGTCTCCCATGTCTTCTGATTGTCTCCCCCTGTCTTCTGATTGTCTCCCCCTGTCTTCTGATTGTCTCCCCCTGTCTTCTGATTGTCTCCCCCTGTCTTCTGATTGTCTCCCCCTGTCTTCTGATTGTCTCCCCCTGTCTTCTGATTGTCTCCCATGTCTTCTGATTGTCCATCTTTTTCTATTGATTGTCTCCCCCTGTCTTCTGATTGTCTCCCATGTCTTCTGATTGTCTCCCCCTGTCTTCTGATTGTCTCCCCATGTCTTCTGATTGTCTCCCATGTCTTCTGATTGTCTCCCCCTGTCTTCTGATTGTCTCCCCCTGTCTTCTGATTGTCTCCCATGTCTTCTGATTGTCTCCCCCTGTCTTCTGATTGTCTCCCCCTGTCTTCTGATTGTCTCCCCCTGTCTTCTGATTGTCTCCCCCTGTCTTCTGATTGTCTCCCATGTCTTCTGATTGTCTCCCCCTGTCTTCTGATTGTCTCCCCCTGTCTTCTGATTGTCTCCCCCTGTCTTCTGATTGTCTCCCCCTGTCTTCTGATTGTCTCCCCCTGTCTTCTGATTGTCTCCCCCTGTCTTCTGATTGTCTCCCATGTCTTCTGATTGTCCATCTTTTTCTATTGATTGTCTCCCCCTGTCTTCTGATTGTCTCCCATGTCTTCTGATTGTCTCCCCCTGTCTTCTGATTGTCTCCCCATGTCTTCTGATTGTCTCCCATGTCTTCTGATTGTCTCCCCTTATCTTCTGATTGTCTCCCCCTGTCTTCTGATTGTCCATCTTTTTCTATTGATTGTCTCCCCCACAGCTACCTGATAGACAGAGAGTCAGACTCAAGGCGAGAGTTTGTTATCAACCCCGAGACTGGTCAAGTCAGCACAAGGAAAAAATTGGACAGAGAAGTGGATGCCAAAATGACTGTGTTAATTAAGGCTGTTGACAAGGGTGACCCCAGACAAACTGGGACAGCCACACTGCAGGTCAATGTCCTCGATGTCAACGATAACTTTCCCATCTTCAAGGAAGATTATCATCCAGTGGTGCCTGAAAACATGGAGCTCACCTCCCCACTGCTGGTAAACTTTTGTACCACTTCTTTGCCTATTTCAACCACCAGTGGAGCATAGACCACTGACAACACCCTTCCATAGCTTTCTTTCTTTTGCCATCTTCTCCTTTTCAACTCTCTGCCTTTTTCATTTCTCTATGGCAGCTATTTTAAGCACTCTCTTTTTCTTTTCAACTCTCTGCCTTTTTCATTTCTCTATGCCAGCTATTTTAAGCACTCTCTTTTTCTTGGTCCTTGTGGATTCCATGAGTTTCTTTAAGGCATCTCTTCCTGAAGAAAGTCTACCCCCCCCCCCCCCCCCCCAGAAAGAAACACTTATTCCATGATCTGCCTTGTCTGGGAATACCAATAGCTGGTTTCCTCATTGTATGGCATATACATCTCCACCTCTTTTTCCATTTGCTTGGGTTACTTTGATTTATCCTGTCCCATATTGTTGTTGTGTTAGATACTTTATCAAGCCACTTACTATTTAATATTGGGCCAGGCAGCTATTTACAAAAAATTCTATTCTAGTCCCAATCTATGGATGGCCAACTTTCCACTCTGTACAACACAACAGTTCAACATTGGTAGTTTGGTCTTATTGATAATTTGCTTAGTGGTCTAAATGTTTATTAGCTCCTCATGCCTTGTGCCCATGTCCGTATAAACTGATGTGTAACCTCTAGTGCCATTTATCCCCCCACTAATGATGTTTGACTAACTGTGCTCCATTAGGTCATTCATCCCCCACTAATGATGTTTGACTAACTGTGCTCCATTAGGTCATTCATCCCCCACTAATGATGTTTGACTAACTGTGCTCCATTAGGTCATTTATCCCCCCACTAATGATGTTTGACTAACTGTGCTCCATTAGGTCATTTATCCCCCCACTAATGATGTTTGACTAACTGTGCTCCATTAGGTCATTCATCCCCCCACTAATGATGTTTGACCAACTGTGCTCCATTAGGTCATTCATCCCCCCACTAATGATGTTTGACTAACTGTGCTCCATTAGGCCATTCATCCCCCACTAATGATGTTTGACTAACTGTGCTCCATTAGGTCATTCATCCCCCCACTAATGATGTTTGACCAACTGTGCTCCATTAGGCCATTCATCCCCCCACTAATGATGTTTGACTAACTGTGCTCCATTAGGCCATTCATCCCCCACTAATGATGTTTGACTAACTGTGCTCCATTAGGTCATTCATCCCCCACTAATGATGTTTGACTAACTGTGCTCCATTAGGTCATTCATCCCCCACTAATGATGTTTGACCAACTGTGCTCCATTAGGCCATTCATCCCCCCACTAATGATGTTTGACTAACTGTGCTCCATTAGGCCATTCATCCCCCACTAATGATGTTTGACTAACTGTGCTCCATTAGGTCATTCATCCCCCACTAATGATGTTTGACTAACTGTGCTCCATTAGGTCATTCATCCCCCCACTAATGATGTTTGACTAACATTTCATGTGCTCCATTAGGTCCTGGAGGTTTTTGCCCTTGATAAAGATACACCTGTCAATGGTCCACCATTTGGATTTGCCTTACCCCAAAATTGTCAAGTCATCGCTTGTAACCTGTTTTCTCTGGAGTTTAAAGAAGGTAAGATTCTTTGATGGATGTAATAGTTGTCAGCCTGCCAACAGTTGACACTCAGTTGACATCACTATGTCAGCAGATGACATGAATTTATAGAAGACAAATCCAGTATGTCTATTTGTTTGTGAAATCTAAGGGCATTTATACATTTAAATTGGCAATAATATAAGCTAGCAGAGCACACATGTCATATGTCAGACAACTTGAATACATAAACTAATAGAACACACATGTCATGTCAGACGACTTGAATACATAAGCTAGCAGAACACATATGTCATATATGTCAGACAACTTGAATACATAAGTTACCAGAACACATATGTCATATGTCAGACAACTTGAATACATAAGTTACCAGAACACATATGTCATATGTCAGACAACTTAAATACATAAGTTACCAGAACACACATGTCATATGTCAGACAACTTAAATACATAAGTTACCAGAACACACATGTCATATGTCAGACAACTTGAATACATAAGTTACCAGAACACACAAGTCATATGTCAACTTGAATACATAAGTTACCAGAACACATGTCATATGTCAGACAACTTGAATACATAAGCTAGCAGAACACACAAGTCATATGTCAGACAACTTGAATACATAAGCTAGCAGAACACACAAGTCATATGTCAGACAACTTGAATACATAAGTTACCAGAACACACGTCATATGTCAGACAACTTGAATACATAAGTTACCAGAACACACATGTCATATGTCAGACAACTTGAATGCATGTACTTGGAGATGTAATTACTTAGTACATTGCACTATTTTAATATTGGATTAAGATTTAAAACTCAAATCTCAAAACATAGCTTTTTTGACAGAGTGCATTTATTCTCCATACAGTCTTTGTCAGTATGTCAGCAGATGACATTACGTTGGTTTTGTCATTGAGCATTTTTTGTAATAATTTGGCTATGAAATAGCCTCAGAGAAGGTAATTGGGGGGGGGGGGGGGGGGGGAGGGGTGTGAATTGTAAATGACTGGGGTAATTAATAAGCTGTTAATGTCCATCTCCTAAAATGTTATTCACCCACTCATTCCACTTGTCACACATCTTAGCAAAACTGACCGCTTTCATCCATTCCATTTGTCACACATCTTAGCAAAACTGACCGCTTTCATCCATTTCACTTGTCACACATCTTAGCAAAACTGACCGCTTTCATCCATTCCATTTGTCACACATCTTAGCAAAACTGACCGCTTTCATCCATTCCACTTGTCACACATCGTAGCAAAACTGACCGCTTTCATCCATTCCATTTGTCACACATCTTAGCAAAACTGACCGCTTTCATCCATTCCATTTGTCACACATCTTAGCAAAACTGACCGCTTTCATCCATTCCATTTGTCACACATCTTAGCAAAACTGACCGCTTTCATCCATTCCACTTGTCACACATCGTAGCAAAACTGACCGCTTTCATCCATTCCACTTGTCACACATCGTAGCAAAACTGACCGCTTTCATCCATTCCACTTGTCACACATCGTAGCAAAACTGACCGCTTTCATCCATTCCACTTGTCACACATCGTAGCAAAACTGACCGCTTTCATCCATTCCACTTGTCACACATCTTAGCAAAACTGACAGCTTTCATCCATTCCACTTGTCACACATCGTAGCAAAACTGACCGCTTTCATCCATTCCATTTGTCACACATCGTAGCAAAACTGACCACTTTCATCCTTTCCAAGACTGAGATGTCAATTATGGACTACCCCGTAATGCTTAACACTAACATACATTCAAATTGTTGCCTAAACTGAATCCTAACCTAGACTGATTTTTTAAAATTAACATAAGCTAGATGGGTAAATTAATTTAAAACACGAAATAATATAGGGAAAGGGATAGGTTTAAGAAAGGGAAAGTGATAGTTATAAGGATAAGGATAGAGATAGGGAAATGGATGTGGAAAGGGATATGGATAGGGTTATGATTATTGTTTGTTTATGTTTGCTTATGTGGCTGTAGCTATGGCTCAAACTTTGGTAATGGCAATTGTTATGGCTATAGTTGTGGTTGTGGTTATGGTTGTGGTTAAGGTTAGTGTTATGAAAATGTCTCAAGCTTCCATATTTGCATGTAGACATTGATTTGAAAATTTTAAATATTCCCCAAACCCAGGCACATGTTGGCTGTTAGTATAAGAATATACTAGAAAGTTTTTATAGTTTTGCAATCAGATAGTTGTTTGATAATTTTTTATAAGCTACTGATTGTGATAAAAGCAAACATTTTTTGTGTGAGTAAGGGAGTTAAGATTGGTGGATTTTTCTGTTATTTGGTGTTTCTTGATGGTGTTATTTGCTAGTGTTTCTTGCTAGTGTTTTAGAGTGATTTGATATTGTCAATTGACTGTGAATCTTCCATATATAGATGGTGATAATGGGGATGGCACAGCATTGATCAGAACAGAGTCCAAGTTTGACAGAGAGAAGACCAAGTTTTATGAGCTGCCCATTGTCATGTGGGACTTAAGGGGCACAGGCAAGACCAAGGCACAGACTGGCACCAACACACTGACCATCATTATTGGGGATGTTAATGATAACGAGCACTACCCTGGTCATCAGGACATTTTTGTCTACAATTATAAAGGTGAGAAATTGACCTTTGTGTCTTTTTTATGTCTACAATTATAAAGGTGAGAAATTGACCTCAGTGTCTTTGCTATTGTGAGTAACACAACTTATTTCTTTTTCCACACTTCAGGTCAGTTTGGTCCATTGGTCATTGGCCGTGTGTTTGTAGAGGACTTGGATGACTGGGATCTTCAAGACAAAACTTTCACCTTTCAGTCACCTGCAAGCATGAAAAACTTTTTCAGGTGAGTGGACCCTGTTGACCCTGTCTTATCAATTGTACAACTGGTCAAGTGCTGGACCAACCCAAATGTCATGTGTTTGTACAACTGGTCAAGTGCTGGACCAACCCAAATGTCATGTGTTTGTACAACTGTTCAAGTGCTGGACCAACCCAAATGTCATGTGTTTGTACAACTGTTCAAGTGCTGGACCAACCCAAATGTCATGTGTTTGTACATCTGGTCAAGTGCTAGACCAACCCAAATGTCATGTGTTTGTACATCTGGTCAAGTGCTGGACCAACCCAAATGTCATGTGTTTGTACAACTGTTCAAGTGCTGGACCAACCCAAATGTCATGTGTTTGTACAACTGGTCAAGTGCTGGACCAACCCAAATGTCATGTGTTTGTACAACTGTTCAAGTGCTGGACCAACCCAAATGTCATGTGTTTGTACAACTGGTCAAGTGCTGGACCAACCCAAATGTCATGTGTTTGTACAACTGTTCAAGTGCTGGACCAACCCAAATGTCATGTGTTTGTACAACTGGTCAAGTGCTGGACCAACCCAAATGTCATGTGTTTGTACAACTGGTCAAGTGCTGGACCAACCCAAATTTTGTTTGAACATGTTTCAGTGTCAACACCTCCAATGGGGAGATCACCATGAAGAAAGGCGTCAAGTCCAACTTTGGCCACAGCCCCTATCAGTTCAAAGTAGATGTCTTTGACAAGGTCCATCAAAAGTCAGTGACCAGCACTGTGTCTGTGATGGTCAAAGATCTCACAGAGGAGGCTGTACTCAACTCAGGTGCTGTTAGACTTGCAGGTAAGCTGCATCACAACCTCATGCTGCTGGTAGATTAAGGGTTAACTCTACATGGCTGGTAGGTTAGGGGTCAACTGGATTAAAACCTTAGGTAAAGACAGAGTACCATTTGATCCTAACATGACATTTCAGGCATGACAGCGTCCCAGTTTATCCTGGAAGCCAAAGACCCCAGGACAGGTCTGAGGACAGAGAGCCTGTACACACAGTTCAAGAAGTTTCTGGCTCTAAAGCTGGGCTACCCCACCCTTCACAGCATTGAAGTGCTCACCCTGCTAGAGCGCCCCACATACCTGGAGGTCAGGTATGCCGCCCATGGCTCACCCTATGTGTCGCCAGCACAAGTGGACAGTGCAATCATCTTGAACAAACAAGAGGTCAGCATGATTTTTTAACCCAAATTTTTAGAGATTCAACTGCATTCAGTTTACAGTAAGCTTTAACTCCTTGAAATTTCAGTTTGAAAGTCTGGGTCTAAAAATCCTGGCCATTCCTATTGATGAGTGCCAGAATGAGGTGTTTGAAGGAGGTTGTTACAACAAGCTGCACATTTCTGGCCTGCCACTTGTGGTCAATGCTAATGGAACCAGTTATGTTGGAGTGGACGCCTACCTGATGGCCATGGAGGGGTGCGAGGCCGACTTGTTCCCTTCCTCTAGTGAGTGTTCTGGAGACTACTGCTTCAACGGCGGCACCTGTAGAAATGATCTGGGCACACTCTCGTAAGTCTGGCACATCTGGGTTTGTCAGGAAAGAAAGCTTGCTGATAGTGTTGTGTGTGATGCTGGTGTCTGATGTGTTGTGTGTGTTGAAGGTGTCTGATGTGTTGTGTGTTGCAGGTGTGATGTGTTGTGTGTGTTGCAGGTGTCTGATGTGTTGTGTGTGTTACAGGTGTCTGATGTGTTGTGTGTGTTGCAGGTGTCTGATGTGTTGTGTGTGTTACAGGTGTCTGATGTGTTGTGTGTGTTACAGGTGTCTGATGTGTTGTGTGTGTTGCAGGTGTCTGATGTGTTGTGTGTGTTGCAGGTGTCTGATGTGTTGTGTGTGTTACAGGTGTCTGATGTGTTGTGTGTGTTGCAGATGTGATGTGTTGTGTGTGTTGCAGGTGTCTGATGTGTTGTGTGTGTTGCAGGTGTGATGTGTTGTGTGTGTTGCTTGTGCCTGATGTGTTGTGTGTGTTGCAGGTGTCTGATGTGTTGTGTGTGTTGCAGGTGTCTGATGTGTTGTGTGTGTTGCAGGTGTGATGTGTTGTGTGTGTTGCAGGTGTGATGTGTTGTGTGTGTTGCAGGTGTCTGATGTGTTGTGTGTGTTGCAGGTGTGTTGCAGGTGTCTGATGTGTTGTGTGTGTTGCAGGTGTCTGATGTGTTGTGTGTGTTGCAGGTGTCTGATGTGTTGTGTGTGTTGCAGGTGTGTGATGTGTTGTGTGTGTTGCAGGTGTCTGATGTGTTGTGTGTGTTGCAGGTGTCTGATGTGTTGTGTGTGTTGCAGGTGTCTGATGTGTTGTGTGTGTTGCAGGTGTCTAATGTGTTGTGTGTGTTGCAGGTGTCTGATGTGTTGTGTGTGTTGCAGGTGTCTGATGTGTTGTGTGTGTTGCAGGTGCCTGATGTGTTGTGTGTGTTGCAGGTGTTGTGTGTTGCAGGTGTCTGATGTGTTGTGTGTGTTGCAGATGTGATGTGTTGTGTGTGTTGCAGGTGTCTGATGTGTTGTGTGTGTTGCAGATGTGATGTGTTGTGTGTGTTGCAGGTGTCTGATGTGTTGTGTGTGTTGCAGATGTCTGATGTGTTGTGTGTGTTGCAGGTGTTGCAGGTGTGATGTGTTGTGTGTGTTGCAGGTGTCTGATGTGTTGTGTGTGTTGCAGGTGTCTGATGTGTTGTGTGTGTTGCAGGTGTTTGATGTGTTGTGTGTGTTGCAGGTGTCTGATGTGTTGTGTGTGTTGCAGGTGTCTGATGTGTTGTGTGTGTTGCAGGTGTCTGATGTGTTGTGTGTGTTGCAGGTGTCTGATGTGTTGTGTGTGTTGCAGGTGTCTGATGTGTTGTGTGTGTTGCAGGTGTTTGATGTGTTGTGTGTGTTGCAGGTGACTGATGTGTTGTGTGTGTTGCAGGTGTCTGATGTGTTGTGTGTGTTGCAGGTGCCTGATGTGTTGTGTGTGTTGCAGGTGTCTGATGTGTTGTGTGTGTTGCAGATGTGATGTGTTGTGTGTGTTGCAGGTGTCTGATGTGTTGTGTGTGTTGCAGGTGTTGTGTGTTGCAGGTGTCTGATGTGTTGTGTGTGATGCAGATGTGATGTGTTGTGTGTGTTGCAGGTGTCTGATGTGTTGTGTGTGTTGCAGATGTGATGTGTTGTGTGTGTTGCAGGTGTCTGATGTGTTGTGTGTGTTGCAGGTGCCTGATGTGTTGTGTGTGTTGCAGGTGTCTGATGTGTTGTGTGTGTTGCAGGTGCCTGATGTGTTGTGTGTGTTGCAGGTGTCTGATGTGTTGTGTGTGTTGCAGGTGCCTGATGTGTTGTGTGTGTTGCAGGTGCCTGATGTGTTGTGTGTGTTGCTTGTGTCTGATGTGTTGTGTGTGTTACAGGTGTCTGATGTGTTGTGTGTGTTGCAGGTGTCTGATGTGTTGTGTGTGTTGCAGGTGCCTGATGTGTTGTGTGTGTTGCAGGTGTCTGATGTGTTGTGTGTGTTGCAGGTGTCTGATGTGTTGTGTGTGTTGCAGGTGCCTGATGTGTTGTGTGTGTTGCAGGTGTCTGATGTGTTGTGTGTGTTGCAGGTGCCTGATGTGTTGTGTGTGTTGCTTGTGTCTGATGTGTTGTGTGTGTTACAGGTGCCAGTGTCTGGAAGGTTTTGATGGTCCCAGATGTCAGCAGACCAGACATTCCTTCAGTGGCAACTCTGTGGCTATGTACAAGAGCCTGCAGCAGTGTGAGACCTCACAGACAAGCATTGAGTTCACAACCAAGGAACCCAACGGTGTCATCTTCTACAATGGTCCATTGGTCAACATAGACCCCTTGGAGGTAAGATGGCTGGACTGACACAGACCTGCCTATTGTGGAATTATTCTGCTCAATTATAAAAACTCTTGTACTCTTTGTCCTGCTACTTTTGTCAAAGTTTGATACATGTTTTTTTAAAAATAAAAGCTGAAACTAAGCTATACATAATTATAAGCTAGATACTAGCTATATATAACTAAAGCAAAACTATGGGCCGTACAAGTGCTGATACCTGGTGTGTATTTTTCTTATTTTATTTTACTTTTTTGGCTTAGCAAAGTAGCATGGATCTTCTTTTTAAGTATGACTGACTGTTCGTTTGTCTGCTGACATATTTCTTTCTTCTTGTGTTATTTGGATGTAGAGAACAAGACTGCCCTTTTTGTACTGTAACTGTGCACGAGACTTGCTCCATTTGTTCTAGAGCCCTCAGGACTTTATCCTGTTGGAGCTGCGTGCTGGCTACCCTGTACTGACCATTGACCATGGGACTGGGCCAGTCAGCCTAACATTAGATGGGAAGGATCATCACGGCACACAGCGCATCCACAGCCTGGATGATGGCAAGTGGCATCACATAGACATCAACCGCAGAGGCAAGGTGAGTTGGCCAAATCTCAACGCTGGCAACTTAACAGTTTACCATATAGCTTGACTGGCAACTTAACAGTTTACCATATAGCTTGACTGGCAACTTTTTTGCTAGCCTCAAGATTTGTACAGTTTTGCTAGCCTCAAGATTTGTACAGTTTTGTAGAAAGGGTTGTCATATTGCTCTGGCTTTACACAGTCATGTGTTAATGGCAGTTTCCTCAGTATATGGAGATGGTGATAGGTGTATTTATAAAAAAAAAAATATATATATATATCCTCAGTATGTGGAGATGGTGATAGGTGTATTTATAAATAAAAATATATATATATATATATATATCCTCAGTATGTGGAGATGGTGATAGGTGTATTTATAAATAAAAAAAAATATATATATATATCCTCAGTATGTGGAGATGGTGATAGGTGTATTTATAAATAAAAAAATATATATATATCCTCAGTATGTGGAGATGGTGATAGGTGTATTTATAAATAAAAAAAAATATATATATCCTCAGTATGTGGAGATGGTGATAGGTGTATTTATAAATAAATAAAAATATATATATATCCTCAGTATGTGGAGATGGTGATAGGTGTATTTATAAATAAAAAAATATATATATATCCTCAGTATGTGGAGATGGTGATAGACAGGTGCATTGAAGCCGCTGACCAGAACCATTTTGTCAGTGATGACCGGGCCTGTAGAGTGGCTAGAGAAACACCTGGGGAAAATATTTTCCTTAATGTCAACACTCACCTTCACCTGGGGGGGATCCAGACACCCATCAAACTTCAACACCTGGGGGGGAGGGCCATTGTAGGCTTTACTGGCTGCCTCAGGAACCTGATCCATAATAAAAAGGTCAGCCTCGTTTTTGTCTTATCTTTGTCTAGTCTTTGTTTAGTCTTGTTCAGTTGTATGACCTATCCATGTTTTAGTTGTATGACATATTCATGTTTCAGTTTTATGACCTTCATGTTTCAGTTTTATGACCTATTCATGTTTCAGTTGTATGACCTTCATGTTTCAATTGTATGACCTTCATGTTTCAGTTTTATGACCTATTCATGTTTCAGTTGTATGACCTTCATGTTTCAGTTGTATGACCTTCATGTTTCAGTTGTATGACCTTCATGTTTCAGTTGTATGACCTTCATGTTTCAGTTGTATGACCTTCATGTTTCAATTGTATGACCTTCATGTTTCAGTTTTATGACCTATTCATGTTTCAGTTGTATGACCTTCATGTTTCAGTTGTATGACCTTCATGTTTCAGTTGTATGACCTTCATGTTTCAGTTTTATGACCTATTCATGTTTCAGTTGTATGACCTTCATGTTTCAATTGTATGACCTTCATGTTTCAGTTTTATGACCTATTCATGTTTCAGTTGTATGACCTTCATGTTTCAGTTGTATGACCTTCATGTTTCAGTTTTATGACCTTCATGTTTCAGTTTTATGACCTATTCATGTTTCAGTTGTATGACCTTCATGTTTCAGTTGTATGACCTTCATGTTTCAGTTTTATGACCTTCATGTTTCAGTTTTATGACCTATTCATGTTTCAGTTGTATGACCTTCATGTTTCAGTTGTATGACCTATTCATGTTTCAGTTTTATGACCTTCATGTTTCAGTTGTATGACCTATTCTTCAAAGAAATGCCTGGCCTGAACACAGGACAGAACAGCTGCCCACTGGAGGATGAGATCTGTGGGACCAATGGACCCAACCCCAGGTGTGGTCTACATGGCCAGTGTCAAGCTTCATTGGACGGCAACTACATGTGCACCTGTCTACCTGGTTGGTTTGGTGGCAGGTGTAGCAAGGGTAAGGTGGCATTGGCAGGGCATATAGCACTGGTTGTAATGTAGACACGGGACATATAGCACTGGTTGTAATGTAGACACAGGGCATATAGCACTGGTTGTAGTGTAGACACAGGGCATATAGCACTGGTTGTAGTGTAGACACAGGGCATATAGCACTGGTTGTAGTGTAGACACAGGGCATATAGCACTGGTTGTAATGTAGACACAGGGCATATAGCACTGGTTGTAGTGTAGACACAGGGCATATAGCACTGGTTGTAATGTAGACACAGGGCATATAGCACTGGTTGTAGTGTAGACACAGGGCATATAGCACTGGTTGTAGACACAGGGCATATAGCACTGGTTGTAGTGTAGACACGGGACATATAGCACTGGTTGTAATGTAGACACGGGACATATAGCACTGGTTGTAATGTAGACACGGGACATATAGCACTGGTTGTAGTGTAGACACAGGGCATATAGCACTGGTTGTAATGTAGACACGGGACATATAGCACTGGTTGTAATGTAGACACAGGGCATATAGCACTGGTTGTAGTGTAGACACAGGGCATATAGCACTGGTTGTAGTGTAGACACAGGGCATATAGCACTGGTTGTAATGTAGACACGGGACATATAGCACTGGTTGTAATGTAGACACAGGGCATATAGCACTGGTTGTAGTGTAGACACAGGACATATAGCACTGGTTGTAGTGTAGACACGGGACATATAGCACTGGTTGTAATGTAGACACAGGGCATATAGCACTGGTTGTAGTGTAGACACGGGACATATAGCACTGGTTGTAGTGTAGACACGGGACATATAGCACTGGTTGTAGACACAGGGCATATAGCACTGGTTGTAGACACAGGGCATATAGCACTGGTTGTAGACACAGGGCATATAGCACTGGTTGTAGACACAGGGCATATAGCACTGGTTGTAGTGTAGACACAGGGCATATAGCACTGGTTGTAGTGTAGACGGCATATAGCACTGGTTGTAGACACAGGGCATATAGCACTGGTTGTAGTGTAGACACAGGGCATATAGCACTGGTTGTAGTGTAGACACAGGGCATATAGCACCTTCTGACTTAACATATTGTGCTTCTAGCTGCCACTGTGAGAGACTTTGACAAAAACAGTTATTACCTCTGGGAGATGAAGGAAAGTATTTTCAACTCACGCCGCATGACGCGCAATCGTGACATGGATGTCCAGTTGATGTTTCGGACAAGACAGACTACCGGCATTCTAATGGACTTCACCGACTCCGGCTCTACAGAGGCTACACTACATCTTCGTCTAATGGTACTTTCTTGACTTGTCTCTGTCATTTGTCAAGTAGATTTCTCTTGTCATAGAGGCCACACTACATCTAATGGTACTGTAGATACCCTCTGTTAATCCATAACTAGATTTCTCTTGTCATAGAGGCCACACTACATCTAATGGTACTGTAGATACCCTCTGTCAATCCATAACTAGATTTCTCTTGTCATAGAGGCCACACTACATCTAATGGTACTGTAGATACCCTCTGTTAATCCATAACTAGATTTCTCTTGTCATAGAGGCCACACTACATCTAATGGTACTGTAGATACCCTCTGTCAATCCATAACTAGATTTCTCTTGTCATAGAGGCCACACTACATCTAATGGTACTGTAGATACCCTCTGTTAATCCATAACTAGATTTCTCTTGTCATAGAGGCCACACTACATCTAATGGTACTGTAGATACCCTCTGTCAATCCATAACTAGATTTCTCTTGTCATAGAGGCCACACTACATCTAATGGTACTGTAGATACCCTCTGTCAATCCATAACTAGATTTCTCTTGCAATATTTACCTTTAGCTGCATGGGGGCAAAGTTCGCCTGACCTACAACCTTGGGGACGGGGAGAAACACCTTGACTTGAGCCACGCCAAGGCCAACAATGGCCAGTGGCATGTCTTGCGAATGGAAAGGCATGGGCGTGAGTTCCACCTGCGCCTTGATGGGGGGGAAGGGAAGAACTACAACTACACGCTACAGTCTGCTACCAATGAGAAGGAAAGGGACGTCTTTAAAGTGGACAGGCGGGTTTATTCAGGGGCTTACAAGCAAGGAGTGGGCTTGTCTTCTGTACTCATTGATGACCTCATCAACAGTAAGTACTCTCTCATCAACTCTCTGTCATCTACACTCTGTCATCTACACTCTGTCATCTACACTCTGTCATCCATCTACGCCAGGGGTCTCCAAACTACGGCCCGCGGCCGGATGCGGCCCGCGAGGTCCTCTCATCCGGCCCACGAGGTCCTCTCATCCGGCCCGCGAGGTCCTCTCATCCGGCCCGCAGAGATCTTTTTGTTCACGGAAAAAAATGTTTGTTAGAAGTGGCTGAGAATCTTTGCCCAGAAAATACAAAACAATTTGAAAATGTAGCTTTGGGTGCAAATACCATTGCCCTCTGCGTTGCACACAATGATAAAAACACTGACTCAAATAGTGAAAAATGCTTACAAGTTTTGCAATTTTTCAATTGCAATGGATGAGTCGTTGGATAGCATGTTTTTGGAACAAGTACAGGGCAACAACTTAACGCACTTTCAGCGGTGCAAGGTATTCATGGCTGAAGCAATAGCTGAGTTCCTTATATCATTTGCTTGCGAGATCATCAAAGACCTCCAGCTGCAGCTTCAGTAGCGGTTTTCTGACTAGGATTCACAGGCAGAAGAAGTGAAACTGATTCAAAACCCATTTGAAGCAAATGTAACCAGTTTCCCAGATGAACTGCAGATGGAGGTCATTGAATAGCAAGCAAATTCAAAAAATGACGGGTGGGTTTTTGTGTTTGCCCAAGGAGAACAAACTTGGACCTCGAGTGTGTTGTCGGCCCCCCACCAGTGTTTCTTTCAGACTTGTTCTCCTGGGGGTGCATTTAAAATATGTATATATTTTTATATGAATTATAATATTATAATTCGTTGGGGGGGGGGGGGGCACGGGGACACCGCCACCCCAAAGAGATGCATGGAAGAAACTCTGGCCCCCGAACTGATATTTGATAGTTAATGCGGCCCTCGGGCTGAAAAGTTTGGAGACCCCTGATCTACGCTATCATGTTAACTCAGCTGCCTGTCATGTACCTCCTGTCATCTTGTGATGTCATCTTGTGATGTCATCTTGTGATGTCATCTTGTGATGTCATCTTGTGATGTCATCTTGTGATGTCATCTTGCGATGTCATCTTGCGATGTCATCTTGCGATGTCATCTTGTCATGTCATCTTGTCATGTCATCTTGTCATGTCATCTTGTCATGTCATCTTGTCATGTCATCTTGTCATGTCATCTTGTCATGTCATCTTGTCATGTCATCTTGTCATGTCATCTTGTCATGTCATCTTGTCATGTCATCTTGTCATGTCATCTTGTCATGTCATCTTGTCATGTCATCTTGTGATGTCATCTTGTCGTGTCATCTTGTCGTGTCATCTTGTCGTGTCATCTTGTCGTGTCATCTTGTCGTGTCATCTTGTCATGTCATCTTGTCATCTTGTCATGTCATCTTGTCATGTCATCTTGTGATGTCATCTTGTCGTGTCATCTTGTCGTGTCATCTTGTCGTGTCATCTTGTCGTGTCATCTTGTCGTGTCATCTTGTCGTGTCATCTTGTCATGTCATCTTGTCATCTTGTCATGTACTCTTGTCATGTCCCCTCTTGTCCCAGCCTGTATCCAGGATGTACGGGTCAATGGTGGCTACTTTGCCATGACCCACGCTGAAAGTTTTGACCCAGACACCATGGCTATAGTGGAGGAGAACCAGAACACCAAGGAGGGCTGTGTGAGGAACGACTGCACCCTGGGGCTGTGTGACAGCAGCAGGACCTGCGTCCCACTGTGGGAGAGCCACCAATGTCGGTAGGTTCAACAACCTCCCTCCCAGCTAAACACAACTGCCCTCCCAGCTAAACACAACCTCCCTCCCAGCTAAACACAACCTCCCTCCCAGCTAAACACAACCTCCCTCCCAGCTAAACACAACCTCCCTCCCAGCTAAACACAACCTCCCTCCCAGCTAAACACAACTTCCCTCCCAGCTAAACACAACCTCCCTCCCAGCTAAACACAACTTCCCTGCCAGCTAAACACAACCTCCCTCCCAGCTAAACACAACTTCCCTCCCAGCTAAACACAACTTCCCTCCCAGCTAAACACAACTGCCCACCCAGCTAAACACAACCTCCCTCCCAGCTAAACACAACTTCCCTCCCAGCTAAACACAACTGCCCACCCAGCTAAACACAACCTCCCTCCCAGCTAAACACAACTGCTGTCCCAGCTAAACACAACTGCCCACCCAGCTAAACACAACCTCCCTCCCAGCTAAACACAACTTCCCTCCCAGCTAAACACAACTGCCCACCCAGCTAAACACAACCTCCCTCCCAGCTAAACACAACCTCCCTCCCAGCTAAACACAACTTCCCTCCCAGCTAAACACAACTGCCCACCCAGCTAAACACAACTGCCCACCCAGCTAAACACAACCTCCCTCCCAGCTAAACACAACCTCCCTCCCAGCTAAACACAACTGCTGTCCCAGCTAAACACAACTGCCCACCCAGCTAAACACAACCTCCCACCCAGCTAAACACAACTTCCCACCCAGCTAAACACAACTTCCCTCCCAGCTAAACACAACTGCCCTCCCAGCTGAACACAACATGTATGTTGTTTGTGCAGGTGCCAGGAAGGTTTGAAGGAGCTTGGAGAGAAATGTGTGAGTCACTGTGTGCCCAACCCCTGCTTCAACAATGTGAGCTGCACCATCCAGGACAAGGAGGTCAGGTGTGCATGTCCAGCTGGCTGGGGTGGACGCTACTGTGATGAGCTGGCACCAGAGCAGGTCAAAAGTGGCGACCTCAGTGATGGCGCTCTAGTGGCTATTCTCGTCTCCGTCATTGTTGTCTTATGTAAGTTTATACATCTTCTTACAGTTAGGGTTAGGTTCATCTTCTGACAGTTAGGATTAGGTACACAATGACCTGAATACCCCCATCAATACGCGTCCTCAAAAGTATATTTTTCTCTGCCCCCCCTCCCCAGCCCCCAAATAAAAATAATTCCAAATTTTTGTGGATGACCCCTAATTATTTCATGATGTTGGTCATTGTGTGTTTAATCTGAGTTTTTATTGAATGTGTCTGTGTGACTTTGGCCAAGTATCATTGTGTCTGTGTAACTTTGGCCAAGTATCATTGTGTCTGTGTGACTTTGGCCAAGTATCATTGTGTCTGTGTGACTTTGGCCAAGTATCATTGTGTCTGTGTGACCTTGGCCCAGTTTCAATGTGTCTGTGACCTTGGCCCAGTATAATTGTGTCTGTGACCGTGGCCCAGTTTCAATATATCTGTGACCTTGGCCCAGTTTCAATGTGTCTGTGATCTTGACCCAGTATAATTGTGTCTGTGACCTTGGCCCAGTTCCATTGTGTCTGTGACCTTGGCACAGTTTCATTGTGTCTGTGACCTTGACCCAGTTTCATTGTGTCTGTGACCTTGGCCCAGTTTCATTGTGTCTGTGACCTTGGTCCAGTTTCATTGTGTCTGTGACCTTGACCCAGTTTCATTGTGTCTGTGACCTTGGTCCAGTTTCATTGTGTCTGTGTTTGCAGTGATTGCCTTGGTTGTCTTCCTTCTGTACAAACTGTGTCCCCACAATGACGAAGGTGAGAAATACATCCTGGAAGTTGATCCTGATGAAGATATCCGGGAAAATGTCATTATTTACGATGATGAAGGCGCAGGTGAGTTTGTCACTTGTCAGTGTTGATCTTAGCAATATATTTAGTGGAATAAGGACATAGCACCCCGAACAACGCCCCATCTTCATATTAACTGTTTAAAAATCCAATTGGAAGTTTATTGCTAACTAATAATTACCTCTTTCCTATCAACAAACTTAACCCTAACCATATGAAGTAGGTATGGGAAAAAAAGGATATTTCATGTGCTTTGTTTTAACATTTTTCCCATATTTATGTTTTGTATACCCAGGTTACAATATGACAATTATGTATAAATGGTGATACCTTGTGAACATAGCACATGTGATGTGTGACTGTAATCAGAACATGGCACATGTGATGTGTGATCAGGACATGGCTCATGTGATGTGTGACTGTAATCAGGACATGGCTCATGTGATGTGTGACTGTAATCAGGACATGGCTCATGTGATGTGTAATCAGAACATGGCTCATGTGATGTGTGATCAGAACATGGCACATGTGATGTGTGACTGTAATCAGAACATGGCTCATGTGATGTGTGACTGTAATCAGGACATGGCTCATGTGATGTGTGACTGTAATCAGGACATGGCTCATGTGATGTGTGACTGTAATCAGGACATGGCTCATGTGATGTGTAATCAGAACATGGCTCATGTGATGTGTGACTGTAATCAGGACATGGCTCATGTGATGTGTGACTGTAATCAGGACATGGCTCATGTGATGTGTGACTGTAATCAGGACATGGCTCATGTGATGTGTGACTGTAATCAGGACATGGCTCATGTGATGTGTAATCAGGACATGGCTCATGTGATGTGTGACTGTAATCAGGACATGGCTCATGTGATGTGTGACTGTAATCAGGACATGGCTCATGTGATGTGTGACTGTAATCAGAACATGGCTCATGTGATGTGTGACTGTAATCAGAACATGGCTCATGTGATGTGTGATCAGAACATGGCTCATGTGATGTGTGACTGTAATCAGAACATGGCTCATGTGATGTGTGACTGTAATCAGAACATGGCTCATGTGATGTGTGACTGTAATCAGAACATGGATCATGTGATGTGTGATCAGAACATGGCTCATGTGATGTGTGACTGTAATCAGGACATGGCTCATGTGATGTGTGACTGTAATCAGAACATGGCTCATGTGATGTGTGACTGTAATCAGGACATGGCTCATGTGATGTGTGACTGTAATCAGAACATGGCTCATGTGATGTGTGACTGTAATCAGAACATGGATCATGTGATGTGTGATCAGAACATGGCTCATGTGATGTGTGACTGTAATCAGAACATGGCTCATGTGATGTGTGATCAGAACATGGCTCATGTGATGTGTGACTGTAATCAGGACATGGCTCAACTGACTTAACGCACCAAACAATTGACCATGATTTCAGGTGAGGAGGACAAAGAGGCGTATGACCTGTCCAAGATTCAACTGCCCACAATGGAGCCAGACTGTACTCCCATCAGTCGAACACTTTTTCTTGGAAGTAAGATTTTTTTTTTGTGGTAATCCTTTACAGTTGTCATGTAAGATTTTTTTTTTGTGGTAATTCTTTACAGTTGTCATGTAAGATTTTTTTTTGTGGTAATCCTTTACAGTTGTCATGTAAGATTTTTTTTTTGGGGTAATCCTTTACAGTTGTCATGTAAGATTTTTTTTTGTGGTAATTCTTTACAGTTGTCATGTAAGATTTTTTTTTTGTGGTAATCCTTTACAGTTGTCATGTAAGATTTTTTTTTGGTGGTAATCCAGTTGTCATGTAAGATTTTTTTTTTGTGGTAATCCAGTTGTCATGTAAGATTTTTTTTTGTGGTAATTCTTTACAGTTGTCATGTAAGATTTTTTTTTGGGGTAATCCTTTACAGTTGTCATGTAAGATTTTTATTGTGTGCCGAAACTATGGATAGTACATTTATCCACAGCTTGAGGTGCCCAAACTATGGATAGTACATTTATCCACAGCTTGAGGTGCCCAAACTATGGATAGTACATTTATCCACAGCTTGAGGTGCCCAAACTATGGATAGTACATTTATCCACAGCTTGAGGTGCCCAAACTATGGATAGTACATTTATCCACAGCTTGAGGTGCCCAAACTATGGATAGTACATTTATCCACAGCTTGAGGTGCCCAAACTATGAATAGTACATTTATCTACAGTAAACCATTAGCGGGAGTCAATGTTTTTTTCATTGTTTTCTTTTTGTTTTAATCGTGACTTCATTCTATGGGTATTTTTTAGAATTTCGGTTTTGTATCATATAATCAGTGAAATCAAAACTAATTAAAATGGCTCTGCTGTTAAATTAACAATGGACCTAAAATTGTGGAATTGAAGAAAAAATAGTAGTTCCAGTGACTGAGATGAATTTTATTTTCAGCATTTAACATGACTCTTGTTATTGAAATATTTGAAGATATTAATTTCGGAGATTAATATTATTTTGATTTTTTAAATTAGTTGTGTATAAGCTGTTTAACCTGATAGCAGTGACACATCACATGAGCCATGTAAAAACAAAAAGCATTATATAGGAAAATGGTCCCAGTTTAATAATTATGAGGTTAAACAGCTGTTTTAAAATAATTAAAAAATAAATAAGAAGCACAAAAAATACTTTGAAATTTTATCGGATAGTTTGGGACGTTAAATAGTTTTTTACTGGACAGCAACAGGTAAAGCTTTCAACATCATACAAGAAAATCTTAAGACCAGTATTATGGTTTTTGTTTAACTTTTTTAATATGTTTTTAGATATTTAAAACTGCATGAATTTATGAACGAAGCCATTGGAGCCACTGAATTGATTCCCTCAATTAACATTAGATTCACCTGGTTAATATTTGAACTATTTCTTTCAGATGCACCTGGAGAGAAGCCTGACGTGGGTAACTTTATTGATGACCGCATGAAAGATGCTGACTTGGATGACAATGCCCCTCCCTATGACAGCGTCAGAGAGTTCAGCTTTGAGGGAGGGGGCAGCGACGCGGGGAGCCTGAGCTCTCTTGAGACCAGCAGCAGTGAGAGGAACCATGAGTACGATTACCTCAATGACTGGGGTCCCAAATTTGCCAAGCTGGCTGACATGTATGTGGCAGGAATGGAGGGGGAGTAGAGTACACCCACTAGCCTGAGCCAATGATATTAAACAGTAGCACCACACCATCTCAAACCTTTATGAGGGTCAAAACAATTTTTTTTAACCTGCTGGATTCAACACAAGACTCTGGGAAATAGCAGCATCACTATGGTAACTCAAGGTTGTTTACTGAGCTGTGTGGTGTTATGAATATACACATGTTGACAGTATTAGACACCTCTAGTCCATGTTTCAAAGTTCTAGTTTATACTCAACCATGTTCTCAAACATTTTTATTAGAATGATCTATCAGTGTAAGCAAGTGGCCTCCCTTGGTTGAATGGGTTAGTGTCAGCTTTCAAATATGCAATCAAAATTTGTATTTGCTGGGCAAAGACTGGTGTCAATTTGTTGTAAACCTGGTTTGTCTATTCTTTGGTTTGTAATGAAAAAACTCCCATGCTTGATGGCTACACAAGATGTATGATGGCTACACAAGATGTATGGTTTTATTTGTAGCAGCAATTGTATCAAGTCTGCAGTCGTGTCATTACTTGTTTTCTGTTCTTAACTCATTTTGCCCTCCACTGGGTGCTTGACCAGGTGCCAGCATTTGCCCTGTCACCATTTGCATCCAAATGTATTTATTGTATCCAAATGTTTATCCATTGTCAAATCCATGTTACATGCTACATAATTATTACACCAAGGTAGTTAGGCCTCTCTGTATTGCCTGGATGTGTGTGGCTGACAAGCAATGAAACTTTCTAGAACAAATTCAGGTATTTCCAGCACACTGAGGTCTAGGTGTGATTGCTCTAAGGCTCTCAGTGGCTGATAAATGGCTGAAACAGCCAAACTATGTAGGTTGCACTCATGTTGTGGTTTTGAGTTTTGTCATTTTTCTTTGTTAGAATTTTTTCTTTGTTAGAATTTTTTCTTTGTTAGACATTGATGATGAAACCAGAAGTTGGCTGCAGTGACTCAAGTGAAAATCTTGAATGTCTTCCATCCATGTTCTGGCTGTGTTGTTACAGGAGGATTGTAGATTTTTTTCTTGTCAATTTCTTGTCTTGAATGCTTTTCGTGGATATCAATATGGAGAATGTTACATATTTTTTGTAGAAACTATCTATTCACCTTTTGTGTTGCATTTTAATATTTATTTATCTCTCACATTACTGTACAATTTATTTTTTACAAAGCTTTAATGAATGTACATGACCCTATCTTAACACAATGGGATAGAAGCCTTATATTTATTTAATGAAAACAACCTCTCTCCTGCATTTTAAATTGGCAGATAAAAATTTAAACTTTAGCATTCCAAATCTCCAACTTGTAGGAAGGTATCAAATATCAGTTGTACCTCATGATTTTGTTTTGAACAAATAGTTACTTGCTACTGTAAATAATCACTTGCTAGAGTTTAAACTTTGCTAAAAACAATCAAATTAATTAACCATCCAAGTGCTTTAAATCATCAGTCATTAGCTAACATTTCTACTGCATTGAATGTAGGACTCACATATTATAGATTTATTAAAGGCAGCCCATTGGCTAATGTAGTTGTCCATTATCTTTATGCACCAATCTCTATGGACCAATTGACCTCACTGAAATCCCCAACTTAGACTATCATTCAATGACCAAATCTTTACATATCATTCTGTTTGCTTGTTCAGAATCAAAGAGGGATAATTTAGCAAAAAGTGTAGTGCACCAAGAATGTGTTGGTTATTAAAATATTGGGCTCCACAGTTCAAAAAGGTTTCTGCACTTAGATTAGCGGCAACTGAAGTTTCTGACCAAAGTGATCAAATGTGTTTAACTAACAAAATTGTCAATTATTAAAATATTCACTCCAGACTTTGTCACTACCAGTTTCTATTCATCCCATAATTTAATTATTGAAAGTGTTATTTATTTTTATCTTTGCTGGACACTGTATTTAAAAGAAATAATTTATAAAATGGTTGTGACTTGTGCAGTTAGCTTGTAAGTATGGAAGCTAACCATGGTGTGATCTAACATTTCTATCATTACATTACGGCAGTTTTAATGTTTGTAGTCTTCTGGCTTAACCTTTAAACATGTACAACTGTAATTGAACTGATTATTAAACTAATACATTTTTATATCAATATATGTTAGTTTGTGGCCTTACTTGGGGGGATAAATGAAAAACAAAAGTAAAAGGTAGGATTTTATTTATTTTCACTTGATCATGCCATAATAAAACTGGAATACATTTGTCATAGAAATCATTCTAAAGATACATAGTCTTCAAAAAATTACATCATTTGTATACACCAAAAATATTTCATTCATAAGCAACTGATTAAAGACCACTTATGATGTAAACCACATATATACATGGATGAAAATTGTACTGGGGATGTTAATTGAGTTTGGAATATTTTGTATGAATTTTCATACATTATTCATTTTGACTGAGAATGTGTCGCTGACAGTTGATATTACCCTGTACAATTATGTCTGCCACAAACTTCACTGCCATAAGCAGTTCTCCTAAGAAATAAACAACTACCCAGTACAAAGAGGACTGGACCCCAAAGATAAATCTGTTCAAGTGTGTTCTGAAACCACTTTAGATTCCATATTTACAAATTATTTATACACCACCATTTTGTGACAGTTATATCAGTGACAGGTAGCTCCCTAGAGACTGCACATGTGTGTTGATGTCTGCTAGTTGGTTGTGGTCACTCACTGACTGTTACTTCACTGTGTAGCTACTGGTACCAGTTCTTGCAGACACCCATGTGGTAAAAATATCCCTAAAAAAAGAGTAAAGATTCAGTTTTATTAATGATTCTTTTGTTAACTAGCACGGAGTTAGAGAGACTACCTGCAGTGTGTGAGGCTACCTGCAGTATGTGTGAGACTGCCTGCAGTGTGTGTGAGACTGCAGTGTGTGAGACTGCCTGCAGTGAGTTAGAGGCTGCCTGCAGTGTGTGTGAGACTGCCTGCAGTGAGTTAGAGGCTACCTGCAGTGTGTGTGAGACTGCCTGCAGTGAGTTAGAGACTGCCTGCAGTGTGTGTGAGACTGCAGTGTGTGAGACTGCCTGCAGTGAGTTAGAGGCTGCCTGCAGTGTGTGTGAGACTGCCTGCAGTGTGTGAGACTGCCTGCCGTGTGTGAGAGGCTACCTGCAGTGTGTGTGAGGCTACCTGCCATGTGTGAGACTGCCTGCAGTGTGTGTGAGACTGCCTGCAGTGTATGTGAGGCTACCTGCCATGTGTGAGACTGCCTGCAGTGTGTGTGAGGCTACCTGCAGTGTGTGAGACTGCCTGCAGTGTGTGAGACTACCTGCAGTGAGTTAGAGACTACCTGCAGTGTGTGAGGCTACCTGCAGTGTGTGTGAGACTACCTGCAGTGTGTGTGAGACTACCTGCAGTGTGTGTGAGACTGCCTGCAGTGAGTTAGAGGCTACCTGCAGTGTGTGAGACTACCTGCAGTGTGTGAGACTACCTGCAGTGTGTGTGAGACTGCCTGCAGTGTGTGTGAGACTACCTGCAGTGTGTGTGAGACTGCCTGCAGTGTGTGTGAGACTGTCTGCAGTGTGTGTGAGACTGCCTGCAGTGAGTTAGAGGCTGCCTGCAGTGTGTGAGGCTACCTGCAGTGTGTGAGGCTACCTGCAGTGTGTGAGACTACCTGCCATGTGTGAGACTACCTGCCATGTGTGAGACTACCTGCCATGTGTGAGACTACCTGCCATGTGTGAGACTACCTGCCATGTGTGAGACTACCTGCCATGTGTGAGACTACCTGCAGTGTGTGTGAGGCTACCTGCAGTGTGTGTGAGACTACCTGCAGTGTGTGAGACTGCCTACAGTGTGTGTGAGACTGCCTACAGTGTGTGTGAGACTGCCTGCAGTGTGTGTGTGAGACTACCTGCAGTGTGTGAGACTACCTGCAGTGTGAGATGACACAGTCATTGCTACAGTACTCTGTGTCCCATGAAGGGTTTTCTTTAGCATAGTTGGTGCAGCCACTTCTTACACAGTGAGGGTAAGCCAGATCCTGGGGACAGGGAGGGAATATGTAGGTCAAACTACAGTTTGAGACAGCTCAAGTCTAACACAGTTTGAGACAGCTCAAGTCTAACACAGTTTGAGACAGCTCAAGTCTAACACAGTTTGAGACAGCTCAAGTCTAACACAGTTGACACCACAAAAAATTCAACTCACCATAAGTGCATCAGGCAGAGCACTGTGCTCCATCAAGCCAGTCTGGTAGCTGGTGGAATCTTGGGGTGGGCAGGCTAGAGGGGAGGGGGGAGAGTGGCGTGGAGGTGATTGGCAGACCACGGGCTGCATGTGTTGCTGGAACCCATGTGGTGACATCATCTCTTGTCTGGCCATCATCTGACCTGTCATGTTGTTTGCTAAATGGACAGGTGACATGCCAGGACCTGGGAACAAAAAGTAGGCAGGTAGGCTAAATGTACAAGACTGACATGTCATGACAGGTAGGTTAAATGTACAAGGCTGATATGTCATGACAGGTAGGTTAAATGTACAAGGCTGATATGTCATGACAGGTAGGTTAAATGTACAAGGCTGATATGTCATGACAGGTAGGTTAAATGTACGAGGCTGATATGTCATGACAGGTAGGTTAAATGTACAAGGCTGATATGTCATGACAGGTAGGTTAAATGTACAAGGCTGATATGTCATGACAGATAGGCTAAATGTACAAGGCTGATATGTCATGATAGGTAGGCTAAATGTACAAGGCTGACGTGTCATGACAGGTAGGCTAAATGTACAAGGCTGATATGTCATGACAGGTAGGTTAAGTTAGACAAAATGTCAAGAGAATGAACCTACCTGTGATGTGAGCAGGTGGAGAGCCAGTGGCCAGGTAGGCTGGAGGGGAGGTGGAGCCTTCTGACTCATCAGTGGCTGTCTGCTAGACACAGCAACATTTGGTTAGATCATACAGCAGCTCTAGTCCTTAACAAATAACACACACTAATGGACAACATTCCTAACACACACCAATGGACAACATTCCTAACAGATGGACATTTGGTTAGATCATACAGCAGCTCTAGTCCTTAACAAAAACACACACTAATGGACAACATTCCTAACAGATGGACATTTGGTTAGATCATACAGCAGCTCTAGTCCTTAACAAAAACACACACTAATGGACAACATTCCTAACAGATGGACATTTACCTGAGATACTTGTGTTGCCCTATAAGCTGCCAATTGTTTCAAGTATTGCTTTTTAGCCTGTTCTGTTTTCTTCTTATAGACCTAAAGAAAATCAAAATCTGAATAGGACATCTGCTACACTATAACTAGGGGGTGGGTCAGGCTACATGAGACAGACATATACTTACAAGCTACACTATAACTAGGGGGTGGGTCAGGCTACATGAGACAGACATATACTTACAAGCTACACTATAACTAGGGGGTGGGTCAGGCTACATGAGACAGACATATACTTACAAGCTACACTATAACTAGGGGGTGGGTCAGGCTACATGAGACAGACATATACTTACAAGCTACACTATAACTAGGGGGTGGGTCAGGCTACATGAGACAGACATATACTTACAAGCTACACTATAACTAGGGGGTGGTTAGGCTACATGAGACAGACATATACTTACAAGCTACACTATAACTAGGGGGTGGGTCAGGCTACATGAGACAGACATATACTTACAAGCTACACTATAACTAGGGGGTGGGTCAGGCTACATGAGACAGACATATACTTACAAGCTACACTATAACTAGGGGGTGGGTCAGGCTACATGAGACAGACATATACTTACATCCTTGTGATCAGGATCCAGCTGGTCCCACATTGATGCAACTATTTTAGAGACTTCACCAAAACTAGCGTTTGGGTTGTGGCCTTTGATTGTGGCTTGTGTGTCACGAAAAAACAAAGCATACGCTGAAACTGGCCTAGAGACAGAAACAAGTGTTGTCTACATCTTTCATAGCAAATGACCAGTCCAGACATCTTTCATAGCAAATGACCAGTCCAGTTTAAATGGTTATTCCCTGGCAAATGGCCACTAAGCTGTCCTACTCTATGCTTTCTTACATTGTTCTCAACTGAGCTCAAAACACAAGCTTACAAAGTAGTCCTCTGACCTATGGTCAACAAGCTTACAAAGTTGTCTAGCTACTCCTACCTATGCTCAACACACCCTTACAAATTTGTGCTTACTTTTGAGGTTCGTTTGGATCTTTCTTCTTTTTTCTCTTGTTAGTTTTTTTCTGGACAGCTGAGCTGTCTGTGTTGGTGGGTGATCCAGGTGTGGCAGCACGTTTTGCCAGCTGTAATAAGTGGTCAAACATGTACAGAGATAGGGGGTAGTGTGTACAGAGATAGGGGGTAGTGTGTACATAGATAGGGGGTAGTGTGTACAGAGATAGGGGTAGTGTGTACAGAGATAGGGGGTAGTGTGTACAGAGATAGGGGGTAGTGTGTACAGAGATAGGGGGTAGTGTACAGAGATAGGGGGTAGTGTGTACAGAGATGGGGGGTAGTGTGTACAGTAATAGGGGGTAGTGTGTACAGAGATAGGGGGTGGTGTGTACAGAGATAGGGGGTAGTGTGTACAGAGATAGGGGGTAGTGTGTACAGAGATGGGGGGTAGTGTGTACAGAGATAGGGGGTAGTGTGTACAGAGATAGGGGGTAGTGTGTACAGAGATAGGGGGTAGTGTACAGAGATAGGGGGTAGTGTGTACAGAGATAGGGGGTAGTGTGTACAGAGATAGGGGTAGTGTGTACAGAGATAGGGGGTAGTGTACAGAGATAGGAGGTAGTGTGTACAGAGATGGGGGGTAGTGTGTACAGAGATAGGGGGTGGTGTGTACAGAGATAGGGGGTGGTGTGTACAGAGATAGGGGGTAGTGTGTACAGAGATAGGGGGTAGTGTGTACAGAGATAGGGGGTAGTGTGTACAGAGATAGGGGGGTTGTGTGTACAGAGATAGGGGGTAGTGTGTACAGAGATAGGGGGTAGTGTGTACAGAGATAGGGGGTAGTGTGTACAGAGATAGGGGGTGGTGTGTACAGAGATAGGGGGTAGTGTGTACAGAGATAGGGGGTAGTGTGTACAGAGATAGGGGGTAGTGTGTACAGAGATAGGGGGTAGTGTGTACAGAGATAGGGGTTGGTGTGTACAGAGATAGGGGGTAGTGTGTACAGAGATAGGGGGTAGTGTGTACAGAGATAGGGGTAGTGTGTACAGAGATAGGGGGTTGGTGTGTACAGAGATAGGGGTAGTGTGTACAGAGATAGGGGTAGTGTGTACAGAGATAGGGGTAGTGTGTACAGAGATAGGGGTAGTGTGTACAGAGATAGGGGGGTAGTGTGTACATAGATAGGGGGTAGTGTGTACAGAGATAGGGGGTGGTGTGTACATAGATAGGGGGTGGTGTGTACATAGATAGGGGGTGGTGTGTACAGAGATAGGGGGTGGTGTGTACAGAGATAGGGGGTAGTGTGTACAGAGATAGGGGGGTAGTGTGTACAGAGATAGGGGGTAGTGTGTACAGAGATAGGGGGTAGTGTGTACAGAGATAGGGGGTAGTGTGTACAGAGATAGGGGGTGGTGTGTACAGAGATAGGGGGTAGTGTGTACAGAGATAGGGGGTAGTGTGTACAGAGATAGGGGGTAGTGTGTACAGAGATAGGGGGTAGTGTGTACAGAGATAGGGGTTGGTGTGTACAGAGATAGGGGGTAGTGTGTACAGAGATAGGGGGTAGTGTGTACAGAGATAGGGGTAGTGTGTACAGAGATAGGGGGTTGGTGTGTACAGAGATAGGGGTAGTGTGTACAGAGATAGGGGTAGTGTGTACAGAGATAGGGGTAGTGTGTACAGAGATAGGGGTAGTGTGTACAGAGATAGGGGGGGTAGTGTGTACATAGATAGGGGGTAGTGTGTACAGAGATAGGGGGTAGTGTGTACATAGATAGGGGGTAGTGTGTACAGAGATAGGGGGTGGTGTGTACATAGATAGGGGTAGTGTGTTGTGACCTACTTAGGTCTAGTCATGTTTTATTTTTGGTTTGACAGTGTTATAATACCATATATGGATTGATGGTGCAACAACCGGGTTTTTTCCACTGTCTTATTAAGAGTGTCTAAGACTAAGAAATTTTCCATCAAGATCTGATTGATTGATTCAGATCAGATGACCACCCCAACCAATGGCTACATGAGTTGAGGATAACCTCCCCTGTTGCCTAAGTCTTTAACTAGATCGCACACAGGCAGCACGAGGCAGTCCATCTTGACCAGGCCGTCCATTTTGTCCGGCAATAGATTCTGACCATTTGAACGTGAGAGAGCTTAAGTCCTGAGTGTGCTATGCATTCCTAAGTTGTTTTAGTATTCTAGTATTATATTACTTGTCGCCAAGTGATTCTTGATGCTATAGCAGTGTTGTGTGACCTGTGGTTATTTTTATACAGTGTTAGAATCTGTGATAGTATTTTTTCTTACGCTTTGTAAGTTGGGTTTTGTTATTTTCTAAATTAAATATTTTATCTCGTTTAACCTAGTGTTCTGCCACAACTGTGTTCGCTTATTAAAGGTTGTATGCAGATTGAATGAGTTGTTAACTTCAATAGTATCACTAGTTTTCCCTAGACATCGAAATCGAGCCCTAGTGTGTTGTTGAGTTAGTGTTCATTCATTTAGGCTTTAGGTCATTTGCATATAACCCCAAAAAAGAATCCGGGGGCGTTCACCATCTATCTGGCTGGTAGATAGGTGTCCATTACAGTGTACAGAGATAGGGGGTAGTGTGTACAGAGATAGGGGGTAGTGTGTACAGAGATGGGGGGTAGTGTGTACAGAGATAGGAGGTAGTGTGTACAGAGATAGGGGGTAGTGTGTACAGAGATAGGGGGTAGTGTGTACATAGATAGGGGGTAGTGTGTACATAGATAGGGGGTAGTGTGTACAGAGATAGGGGGTAGTGTGTACAGAGATAGGGGGGTAGTGTGTACATAGATAGGGGGTAGTGTGTACAGAGATAGGGGGTAGTGTGTACATAGATAGGGGGTAGTGTGTACAGAGATAGGGGGTGGTGTGTACATAGATAGGGGTAGTGTGTACAGAGATAGGGGGTAGTGTGTACAGAGATAGGGGGTAGTGTACAGAGATAGGGGGGGTAGTGTGTACAGAGATAGGAAGTAGTGTGTACAGAGATGGGGGGTAGGGTGTACAGAGATAGGGGGTAGTGTGTACAGAGATAGGGGGTAGTGTGTACAGAGATAGGGGGTAGTGTGTACAGAGACAGGGGGTAGTGTGTACAGAGATAGGGGGTAGTGTGTACAGAGATAGGGGGTAGTGTGTACAGAGATAGGGGTAGTGTGTACAGAGATAGGGGGTGGTGTGTACAGAGATAGAGGTAGTGTGTACAGAGATGGGGGTAGTGTGTACAGAGATAGGGGTAGTGTGTACAGAGATAGGGGGTAGTGTGTACAGAGATAGGGGGTTGGTGTGTACAGAGATAGGGGGTAGTGTACAGAGATGGGGGGTAGTGTGTACAGAGATAGGGGGTAGTGTGTACAGAGATAGGGGGTAGTGTGTACAGAGATAGGGGGTAGTGTGTACAGAGATAGGGGGTTGGTGTGTACAGAGATAGGGGGTAGTGTGTACAGAGATAGGGGGTAGTGTGTACAGAGATAGGGGGTAGTGTGTACAGAGATAGGGGGTAGTGTGTACAGAGATAGGGGGTGGTGTGTACAGAGATAGGGGGTGGTGTGTACATAGATAGGGGTAGTGTGTACAGAGATAGGGGGTAGTGTGTACAGAGATAGGGGGTAGTGTACATAGATAGGGGTAGTGTGTACAGAGATAGGGGGTAGTGTGTACAGAGATAGGGGGTAGTGTGTACAGAGATAGGGGGTAGTGTGTACAGAGATAGGGGGTTGGTGTGTACAGAGATAGGGGGTAGTGTACAGAGATAGGGGTAGTGTGTACAGAGATGGGGGGTAGTGTGTACAGAGATAGGGGGTAGTGTGTACATAGATGGGGGTAGTGTGTACATAGATAGGGGGTAGTGTGTACATAGATAGGGGGTAGTGTGTACAGAGATAGGGGGTAGTGTGTACAGAGATAGGGGGTAGTGTGTACAGAGATAGGGGTAGTGTGTACAGAGATAGGGGTAGTGTGTACAGAGATAGGGGGTTGGTGTGTACAGAGATGGGGGGTTGGTGTGTACAGAGATAGGGGGTAGTGTGTACAGAGATAGGGGGTAGTGTGTACCGAGATAGGGGGTAGTGTACCGAGATAGGGGGTAGTGTACAGAGATAGGGGGTAGTGTGTACAGAGATAGGGGGTAGTGTGTACAGAGATAGGGGGGGTAGTGTGTACAGAGATAGGGGTAGTGTGTACAGAGATAGGGGTAGTGTGTACAGAGATAGGGGGTAGTGTGTACAGAGATAGGGGGTAGTGTGTACAGAGATAGGGGGTAGTGTGTACAGAGATAGGGGGTGGTGTACAGAGATAGGGGTAGTGTGTACAGAGATGGGGGGTAGTGTGTACATAGATAGGGGGTAGTGTGTACAGAGATAGGGGGTAGTGTGTACAGAGATAGGGGTAGTGTGTACAGAGGTAGGGGGTAGTGTGTACAGAGATAGGGGGGGTAGTGTGTACAGAGATAGGGGGTAGTGTGTACAGAGATAGGGGGTAGTGTGTAAAGAAATAGGGCTAGTGTGTACAGAGATAGGGGGTAGTGTGTACATAGATAGGGGGTAGTGTGTACAGAGATAGGGGGTAGTGTGTACAGAGATAGGGGGTAGTGTGTACAGAGATAGGGGTAGTGTGTACTTAGATAGGGGGTGGTGTGTACAGAGATGGGGGGTAGTGTGTACATAGATAGGGGGGTAGTGTGTACAGAGATGGGGGGTAGTGTGTACTTAGATAGGGGCAATGATTGGTGAGAATATTGAGGACTTACCTGAGCTAAGGGCAGATAGTGTGTACAGAGATAGGGGCAATGATTGGTGAGAATATTGAGGACTTACCTGAGCTAAGGGCAGATAGTGTGTACAGAGATAGGGGCAATGATTGGTGAGAATATTGAGGACTTACCTGAGCTAAGGGCAGATAGTGTGTACAGAGATAGGGGCAATGATTGGTGAGAATATTGAGGACTTACCTGAGCTAAGGGCAGATAGTGTGTACAGAGATAGGGGCAATGATTGGTGAGAATATTGAGGACTTACCTGAGCTAAGGGCAGATAGTGTGTACAGAGATAGGGGCAATGATTGGTGAGAATATTGAGGACTTACCTGAGCTAAGGGCAGATAGTGTGTACAGAGATAGGGGCAATGATTGGTGAGAATATTGAGGACTTACCTGAGCTAAGGGCAGATAGTGTGTACAGAGATAGGGGCAATGATTGGTGAGAATATTGAGGACTTACCTGAGCTAAGGGCAGATAGTGTGTACAGAGATAGGGGGGGGGGTAGTGTGTACAGAGATGGGGGTAGTGTGTACTTAGATAGGGGCAATGATTGGTGAGAATATTGAGGACTTACCTGAGCTAAGGGCAGATCATCGCTGTCCTCGCTGCTTGACGTGCCAGGTGGACTGCTGGACACTGGGGGTAAATAGGTCACCAGTTGTCCACCCAAGGTGGACTGAGTAGAATTTACGGAGCCCTTGAAGGGCATGGCGGCATCGCTGTTGTGAGTAGATGAGCCAGCAAATATGTGTGCGGAGCTGAACTGGTTGAAGTCAGTGTGTGGACTGACACTGTTAGAGAAACTGATGTCTGGAACATCAAAGTTTTGTGGTGGGAAGATTGGCGCCAGGTTGTCTAGGGTCTCCCCAGAAGAGAGGCCCATAGGATGAGAGCTCATGGCAAACTTCTCACTGCCTTCCTCAACCATGCCGTACAAGCTGAAATAGATTAACTTTAGAGTATAATCAATAGAAACAAAGCGGGAGTGATCTCCCCTAAACTTTCTCATACATTTTTATATAACTTAAGAGTAAATGGGATAGCACTCACAGTGCAATCAGGCAATAAAATTTTTTATTAGTTTTTCAGTACTTAATTTTTTAAAATTTTGTTATATAAACATTTTTATTTTTCATTTTGTTATATTTTGGATAAAGGGTAGTTATCTTTTTTTCTTGGTGTTGTAATAGTTGTATGGATTAGGTTTTTACTATAATCCATAATGTAAGCTGTAATGTGTGTCACAGGTTTTTACTATAATCCATAATGTAAGCTGTAATGTGTGTCTCAGGTCTTTGGCTAGGTTAGTGTGGAGAAAGCATTTAGATGAAGAGATCTTAAAGTCTGATCAGCCATCTATCCTTACTGTATTCACACATTTTCTTTGTGCTTTTATTTTTTAGCTTACTATATAATCAGTTTTTGATTGATAGCAAACAAAATAAACTATGGTCTCTAATTATAGACATTTTTTCTAAATTAAACTGTGGAATGCAAAACTGTTTTCGTAATATAATGCAAAATTATTGTAACAATTTTAAAAGGAAAACAATTGTATGGGGGCTTATCTTTAATTCTTTTACTCAACATGTAAAAATTATTTTTAAAAAAATTATGAGACAAAAGCGGCTGTGTTACGATTAAGTTGACAAAACTGCTGTGTTTTTTCTAAAGGTTTTTGTTCTACTGCACATTGCTAACTTGGAGTTCCGAAACGACAGCATGGTAAGAGATTGTGTTGAAAATGTAAATTTCAAACAGCCGGCTAATAATTTTATAACATAGGAAGAAAATTAGATAGTTTAGAAAAAAACAACTGGAAAAATTAATTTGTAAAGTCAATAGGCTTTAAAAGCTGGTTCCAAATAGTTGTTGCCAGAAAGCATATTTTTCAACCAAATTGAATATTTTATAACAGTGAAGTAAGTACAAAATGACTTCTGGTTTCATTTAGGCTATTCAAACAAATGACTACTAGTAATATAATAGTAATTTAGCAAACATTTTTATTTTTAATTTGGATTAGTAGAATCAGGGTGTTGTGGTGATAGGGGATGATATATTATCTCATATTAATTAACTTCTCGGCTATACTCACTGACGATATTGTGTATTTTATCAGATAAAAACATTATATTGTAATGACTGCCTTTTCCCTGGCCACTCCGGTTGACTTCAAGGAGGGGTTGAGGCCGGTGTTTAAAATATTTGAATTGATAAAATAATTCAAAACATCTTGTTTTAAAAAAATATTTGAATAGATAAAATAATTTAAAACAGTTGAAAGCGCTAAAGTCAATAAAAAAAAATGAAATCGAGTGTAATCGATGTTTACCAAACAATTTAAATTTTTAAAATGTAACCATAATTTTATGGCTTGCCATATTTTCAAAAGATTTTCTCTGATTACACAGACTTTTCAAGCAGATTGGAGAAACATTCTCTTTAACCCATTCTTCATCAGTTGAATAATGCAAGTAATAATATTTTCTTGAAAATATGTTTAACTCTATTCAACTACATTCTTGTTTCTGTTCTACTTTATGTTGGGTGATGGGTATATGTAGTATGTGAGGAGTGTGTGGGTGTGTGAGGGTTATTGAGGAGTGTGTGGGTGTGTGAGGGTTATTGAGGAGTGTGTGGGTGTGTGAGGGTTATTGAGGAGTGTGTGGGTGTGTGAGGGTTATTGAGGAGTGTGTGGGTGTGTGAGGGTTATTGAGGAGTGTGTGGGTGTGTGAGGGTTATTGAGGAGTGTGTGGGTGTGTGAGGGTTATTGAGGAGTGTGTGGGTGTGTGAGGGTTATTGAGGAGTGTGTGGGTGTGTGAGGGTTATTGAGGAGTGTGTGGGTGTGTGAGGGTTATTGAGGAGTGTGTGGGTGTGTGAGGGTTATTGAGGAGTGTGTGGGTGTGTGAGGGTTATTGAGGAGTGTGTGGGTGTGTGAGGGTTATTGAGGAGTGTGTGGGTGTGTGAGGGTTATTGAGGAGTGTGTGGGTGTGTGAGGGTTATTGAGGAGTGTGTGGGTGTGTGAGGGTTATTGAGGAGTGTGTGGGTGTGTGAGGGTTATTGAGGAGTGTGTGGGTGTGTGAGGGTTATTGAGGAGTGTGTGGGTGTGTGAGGGTTATGTTTGTAGTCTTGTGTGAGCTGTGACCCTAGTGTTGGATGCTCAGGTTTAAGAAGTGGGATGTTATATGTTCCGGAGCCGTTGATACTATTACTTAAAGACTTAATAAAGTGAAATTAATTGTTTTGTTACTCCCCCCCCCCCCCCCATACGTTCTTTTAAAATATTTTCACCGTGCTGCATCAATATGTTAATTAATCTGTTATATCATGTTTTATGCATTACAACCTAAACCACAACATGACACACCCAAACAAGTGTTAATTCAGAAACAACCAATCTACTCAAAAAATAAGTGTCGGAAGCAAAGTCCATTTTCTTTACAAATCATTCTACTTCAATGAGGAAATTTAACTCACCAAGAAGTGAAATAATCTTTTTGTCTTTAGGTTATTCAATCTATACTAGGTCTTTAGGTTAAATCTATACTATGTATTTAGGTTCATTCTATACTATGCTCTTATAAATTATTATCCACAATGATATATGTGATTATCAGCTTAATCATAAATCCAACGTATATGATCAAAACCAGTGATGTAACTGTATTGTACTAAATGTTTATATTTGTGATTTTCATATTGATTTAGCCACTAAAATCTTAACCCTGTTCATTGCAAATATAATACTCTAAAAACAAATTTAACAATCACACTGAAACTATTACAATAAAATCAGCAAAAGTTAGTAAAAACAATTACATGTTGTACTAACTTATCGGAAAATAATGAACATAGTATTAAACCTTTAATCTACATAAGCCATAGCCCTTAGCACCAAAAGAAAAAATGGAAACTAAATGTAAACTTACATGGCTAAGTTAATAGTAGCTATTTCCCTTTAAATTACTTCCCTTACTATTTAAAAAAAAAGGTTATTTAATTGTATTTCATCTACCAATATGAATCACTTTTGTTCCTCAAGTGAAAGAGAGAATAATTTTGACACTAAACAGTTCAAATGTGTTTAGCAATGTAGACGTATGCAATATTTTTTGATGTTCTTTAATCAAACATGCGAGCAATCCAAACAATGACAGCAGTACACAATAGTCCACTATGTAAATTGTAATGAAACAATGCAGGGCTTTTTTTTTTTTGGTCTCTTACACAATGAAGTGCCCAACGAAACAAGCCGATAATTTTTATACACTGGCTATTCCTCTCGTTAGATCGTGGATGAAACAAAAGGTGGTAAGCAGCAATGTTATGAATGAGTTGACACCAGCACATTCTATATTTTAACGCCACTCTAAAGCCTTGAAATAGTTCCCTACGAGTAGGACTTACCTTGAACTGTGGTCTGGAAGAAGACTTTACATCCAATCCTACCCAAGTTTCACGACTATATGATACTAACAAAAGTCTGGCCTATAGATTTTAGCTAGTGAAAACTTGTGTACAACTGACGTGACACAACTCAACATACATACATCGCGCTGATCGCTGTGCACGTATAAAGATAACACACTTGAAATGACGAGGTGTTACACCTGGTTTCACACAACTAATGACGGCGGGGGGGAGGCGGGGCCTAGAGATGCTGGGCGAGACAGTATGGCCGCTCAGCACGCGAGGACAGACAGTGACAGGGGCAGAACATGGTGGGGGCAGACAGTGACAGGGGCAGAACCTGGTGGGGGCAGACAGTGACAGAACCTGGTGGGGGTAGACACTGACAGGGGCAGAACCTGGTGGGGGTAGACACTGACAGGGGCAGAACCTGGTGGGGGCAGACAGTGACAGGGGCAGAACATGGTGGGGGCAGACAGTGACAGGGGCAGAACCTGGTGGGGGTAGACACTGACAGGGGCAGAACCTGGTGGGGGTAGACACTGACAGGGGCAGAACCTGGTGGGGGCAGACAGTGACAGGGGCAGAACCTGGTGGGGGTAGACACTGACAGGGGCAGAACCTGGTGGGGGCAGACAGTGACAGGGGCAGAACCTGGTGGGGACAGACAGTGACAGAACCTGGTGGGGGTAGACACTGACAGGAGCAGAACCTGGTGGGGGCTGACAGTGACAGGGGCAGAACCTGGTGGGGGCAGACAGTGACAGGGGCAGAACCTGGTGTGGGCAGACACTGACAGAACCTGGTGTGGGCAGACACTGACAGGGGCAGAACCTGGTGGGGGCAGAACCTGGAGGGGGCAGACAGTGACAGGGGCAGAACCTGGTGTGGGCAGACACTGACAGGGGCAGAACCTGGTGTGGGCAGACACTGACAGGGGCAGAACCTGGTGGGGGCAGACAGTGACAGGGGCAGAACCTGGTGGGGGCAGACAGTGACAGGGGCAGAACCTGGTGTGGGCAGACACTGACAGAACCTGGTGTGGGCAGACACTGACAGGGGCAGAACCTGGTGTGGGCAGACACTGACAGGGGCAGAACCTGGTGTGGGCAGACAGTGACAGGGGCAGAACCTGGTGTGGGCAGACAGTGATAGGGGCAGACAGTGACAGGGGCAGAACATGGTAGGGGCAGACAGTGACAGGGGCAGAACCTGGTGGGGACAGACAGTGACAGGGGCAGAACCTGGTGGGGGCAGACAGTGACAGAGGCAGAACCTGGTGGGGACAGTCAGTGTGGATGTCTACGTGTGTGGATGTTTGAAGTCTAATGTTGGATGTCTGTAAAAATGAAATCCACGTTTGATACGGCTGGGTGACTGCATACGTCACTCCCCTCCCCACACATGGAAGGCCATGAATGAAACCAGCGAAAGACAAATGTTGACAACACAATGGCGATTGTCAGGCCGACACTTGGCATGCATCTCTGCTCATTGATTGGCCACGGTTGGATGCCATCGACCA